TAAAACCAAAGGGTGTGGCCCCTTTTAAAAAAAAAAAAAAAAAAACCAGCAGCAGGTTGGGATTATACACCTATAATCCACCACTCAGGAGGCAGAGGCCAACCTGATCTACAAAATGAGTTCCAGCAGAGGCCATGTCTCAAAAAACAGAACAAATGAAAAAACAAGTAAAAGGCTCTGTGTGTGTGTGTGTGTGTGTGTGTGTGTGTGTGTTGCCAATCTGGTGTTTTTCAGGGCAAAGAATAATTAGATGTCTAATAAGCCTTCTAAAGAGTGGTGAGGGTCGTCTCCAAAGCTGGAGACTTCACCTAATTTTTTGATACTGTACAATTGTGACCTTAGATTTCTTGGAAGACAGCAGAAGCAGTATCAAAAGCAGCGGTAGGTAATGATAGACAAATCCATGGGAGTCTTAGGACCCTTGCAAGGTCAATACCGTAACATGATCAAGGACTGGCACCAGTTAAATGGCCATCAGTCTTCACTATCTTGTTTCCACAGTAGGAATGGAGACACTTCACTTAGAAAGATGACTAATTATTGTTACACATTGACCCTTGGCAACTTCTCATACTGACAAAAGAGAAAATTCCATCCAGCCCCTCTGCAATGAAGTAAGGTGATCCTAAGGAAAAGCCATTGGACTTTTGTTGCAAGCCATTCATGGAATACCATTTTTATCAGAAAATTAAGCATTTAGGCTTGGCTATTTAATTGTGTTTCTGAAAAATGAACACATTGAACCTTTCACTAATAGTGTTCGCTGGTAATGGTAAATGTTTAAAAGACAGAATTTCTGAAAACTTGTAACAAACCTTAGTGGTAATTAAATTAGCAAATGAGTAGTGAATTGTGTGGATATCTTGAGATCTGTGGAATTTCATGGGTCATTCTCCAAATGGGCAATGTACTGATGTTGCATCTCAAAGGAGAGCCACAATTATTTGAAAACTTCTCTTTTTCTCTGAAGTTAACATGCTTCAGTTCTACCACACAACAGATGAGCATAGAAGTGGCTGGCTTCTGTTAAAGTAGATGTAAAGTGATTGCAACACTGTACCATGTTACCCTTCTTCTAGAACTTATTTTTCCTAAAATATGTTAATGAAATTATTTTGAAATGGACTGCCTTAATTTTTAATATAACAAGTATCAATGACTTTAATAACCTAGATAATAAAAGCTTTCAAAAAAAGGGGGAAAGGGTCTTGAAACCATCATTTGAAAACTGCTGGCCCTGGAGCAAAGTAAATCACCTTTCAGTGTTTTGTTGTTGCTTTTGTTTTATTTTGTTTTGGTTTTTTGAGAGAGTTTCTCTGTGTAGCTCTGACTATCCTGGAATTAGCTCTGAAGACCAGGGTGGCCTCAAACTCATAGAGGTTCACCTGACTCTGCCTTCCAAGGGCTGGGACTAAAAGCGTGTGCCACCACTGCCCGGCCCCCTTCCTGGTACATGTTAACCACTCCTAGTGTGTTATCTCCTGGGAGGGAAGAATTTCAGAACAAAGATAATGAGAAGCCCTATCTGTTGGCCAAGATGGAGTCAGCTCAGGCTGTCATACCACTAACTTTGCTCAGCAACACCCAGAAAGGAGGCTGAGGTCATTCGAATGCCCAAAGAGTAGCTGTCTGCCACTGTTTTGTTCTTCAGTATAGGACAAGTTTGTCCTCCACATTCTCAGTAGGAAGATTCATTGCTAAAATGAGTTTTTCTGGTCAGAGCTTTTGGTTGAAGAAAACTTAGTATCTCTGTTAAGAACAGTTTTTCCAAATTATTTATTAGAATGTCTGACTCAGGAACTACAAAAAGAATGCCTTCCAGCTACTGTACACAGTTTATACTTGACATGACACTTGAAAATACTGGACCCAGAGCTTGAACTGCTTGATCCAAAGTGGGAAAGATACTAGATGTGGACTGGGAACAGCAGAAGCCTGAATGGTCAGACCTCAGGCTAACAGACCGGATCTCCAAAACCAGTTCCCCCTGAACTATCCACATTGCTGTTTCCAGGTTCGATGCCCCTACACATGAGAGAATGCCTCAGATTCAATCTGAATCACTGTCTGTCTCAGCTTCTTTCACATCCACACTGAATTTATACTCCTGGTCACATCCCATGTAAGCATCACTCATGAAGTACAAAGTATAGTTGTGGCCACCTGTGGCTGGGGCCACAAAGTCTAGCTTCACCTAAAGAGAACAGGCAGAAATCAGGTTAGTGGGAACCTGGGGGGAGGCAATCCACCTGTCAAACCCCAGGGATAGATGTGGGATTGAGTGCACACACTCACCTTGGCTTTCTGCTGCAGGGTCAGCCTTTTGATGGAGATGAGGCTGTTGGACTTGGCATCCCCAATCACAACCCACCAGCCCTCTTCACGTTTCTACAGGGACCAAAACCAAGGAAATTGAGAATAGAAAACTCAATGGCTACAAGCAACTGTAAGAACAGTTACTAACAGAGTAACAGAACTCAGATTAAAGCTCTCCACAGTTGCTTCCTGAAACACAGTTTAGTAGACTTTTTGAAACACAACTCTTGGTAGAGTTTCTAAGCAGTCTAAAGATTTCCCACAAAGGACTTAAGTCTTCAAATAAGTAGATAGACAAATTTTTTCAGTTCTACTTCATTTCCATAACTCAAGGCACCTTTTTTTATTTGTTTGTCATTGAATCTAAAATGAATTATTAGAGATTTAGCCTTGGAGCAATGAAGCTTAAGAAGCTTATGTGCAAGGCAAGCTAGCTGAAAAAATCTTAATGTGGAGATGAACCTGCAACAGAGAGGGGCAAGCCTGTGGGGCCTCTTCTGACATCTCGTCTCTCTGGAGAAGCCCTCTCTGTTGGCCACAGTAAAACCAGTCTGCCCAATGGCACTTTCCTTAGAAACTTGAATAATTTGTCTACAGAAGTACATGAAGTTTATCTATCATCTGAACCCAACCTTCAATTCTCCCACAAAAAGGTGAAATTTGCTTTCTGTTGATTTAAAACATGCAACTAGAACCTGAGTGGACTAAAACTGAGGAAAGACCAAGTAGAAAAGTTCAGTGTCCTGAGCCATTTGTAGACAAATGTATCTCAAGAGTCAGAAAGAAACATTGCCTGATGTTTTTTTTTAACAATGGACAGTCATCTAAATTGTTTGAAAAAAAAGAAAAAGAACCCATGGTTCCGAGACTAATACTCAGCCTTATGAGTTCATTACCCCAGGCTACCATTCCTTGGTGGGAAATGTATCCTGTACCTAAGATCTAGCCAGTGAACAAGGCCTCAAATGGACTTAGGGCAAAGCCAGCTGCTAGAACATACCTGTGGGAAGAGTGGTGCAATAACAGGGCCTGTGACTTCCTCTTCTCGCTCCAGCTGCACTAGCACCACAACTGGCCCGCCACTGGTGAAAGCAAAACAACACATGAGTACTATATTTGTGGGCCGAGACCCCAGGGCAGGACTCCTGACACTTTTTGTCTCACCTGCGGATGCTGTCTTTATCCACTACTTCATAAGACAGTTCGATATTCGGGTAGCGGTTACAGAAGCGGGCTACATCTGCAATCTGGCTGTCAGTCAACTGAAGCAGTGCGTTCCGTTCTTCATCCTCCATCTCCATGATGTCAAAAACACTCTCCACTCCCTACAGTGGGTATGCAGAGGTCAGGGGAGCAGAGAACACATGCCACAAGCAAGTAACACTGGCTCTAAAGAGCTGCTCATTTTATATCCCACACTGCCAAGTCATCTAAAAACAGCTTTAGAAAGAATACAGACCACTTCTGGCCGCTCTCAGCATCTTGATTCAGATGGAACTCCTTCAAAGGAACCAGCTCCCCCTGCTAATACCTGCCTCCCACAATCTACCTGCAGATCAGGACTTGCTGTTCCTGGGTTCATCTCCCAGCACTCCAGGTCTTAGCTCACCTTATCTGTGCAACGTTTGATATGCTCTGAGGTGAAGTGTGGCAACTGCTTCAGATAAGAGTCCTTAGACCACATGGCTTGGGTGACCATCTGAGCCAGTTCCATGGCTGCCAGAGCAGGGCTGAGCCAACCATTGCTAGAGAGTACATCCACACAGGCCTGAATGAGTCGGATTGCCTGTATGGAGAGGGAGTATAAGAGCAGATGGGCTAGGAACCCAGACTTGTGAGGCCCCCATGGCCAGGGAACCTCCAAATGCCACCCACACTACCTTACTAAGGATCTCCTCTGTGTCTGACTGTAGTTCAGCACTCAGCTGCATACGGGACAGGTGAGCCTGCAGCAGCAGGTTGGTCTTCACATGTGGATCATTGAACTTGGGATTATTCAGCTTGTGGGGGACCTTCTGAGCCAACTAGAATGTGAAAGAAAAGAAAACAATGATAAACAGAAGACCCTACCTGAGACCTGTTTAGGCCAAACACACCATGTGGCCCAGCCACTCTAGAGGGAAGAAGGAGGGAGAACTAGAGCTAAGTGTGGAAGGATGAATGAGGTTGAGAGAGGTAAGAGAAATGTGTGGGGGTGACAGGAAGCCATGCACTTGGGCATATGGGCCAACTTTTACTCCTAAATGATCTTCTAAAGCCAATGCCCTCACCTGGCGCAGTAGGTTGTCTTCATGATGCCTGATTGGAATGTTCTCATACTCTGCCGCGTTGGAAATAATCTCAATAAGTCCTCGAACCTTGGTTTTAGCATTCAGAGACATGCTGAAGAGCTCTGAAAGAAAATGAGAGAATGTGATAAGAGCCAATGGTGGGAAAAAAGGAACAGAGGAACAAGAATCAACTGCCTGGGCTGCACTGCTTTCTTGCAGTATCATCTCTTTGGCAAATACTGGCTATCACATCTCATCCCAACAGACTCCAGAAGCCCATGCGGCACTAGTCCTCACCAATGGTGGTGTAGTTTATGTAATAGTAGGCAGCAATCATGCCCAGATTCAGAGGCGCCACATCCATCTCATCCTCAATGCTGATGCACTTGGACTGCTCCAGGTCACTAAGGGTCTGTTCCACCAGCTCTGACAAGTGGTCAGACAAATGACGATGGGATATGCCTGTGGAGATGTAAGAGGGAGTCTCAGGATACTGCCTAGCAAGGGCTTGAAAACCTCCAGGGGCAGTCAGTGTGCTCTTCAGTTCACTGACCCTGAAGGTTGTAGTAATTGGGGTTCTGTGTCATCCGGCGATACAGAAAGGTCCAGGTGAGGTAGTCCACAGCATCCTGCTTGTTCTCAATGGTCTTGGTGACAATCTCAGCATTGAAGTGGTCATGCATACAGTGGTCCAAATGAGACTCTACCGGCAATGGCTCATATAAAAACTTTTTGAAAAAATCCTGTGGATTGGGGAGGGGAGGCATTAAAAAAGAATCAGTGACCACATGGTAATAAAGGGTCAAGAGCAATCCAACAGGGAATGGCCTCTGTGTGAAATATAGACAGCCAAATAAAGAAAGCATTAGAAAACAGTATCATATAATACAAAGCAGGAATAGATATGCCAAGCCACAGACAGAGCAGTAAGCAGTTCATGGCGAAGAACAACTAATGAGTGGGAAGACATGGAATCAGCAGCAAAGACAAGGAACAAAATTCTGTGTGGCTCTAGCTTATTACAAAAGCAACTAGCAGAAAGGATGAAAAGTGCATTAAAGACATTAAAAAAAAATTCAAGAATCTGTTCCAAGGCTCAAAGTTTCCTGTAACTGACCTTTTTAGAGCCTTGACACATGATGACACAGCGCCCCTCATCATCCTGCAGGGGACGGTTGGCATGACCCACCATCTGAAGCACGTCATAGATAGGGTAGTCCACATAGCTGGTGGCACAAGAGAGAAATGAGGAAACATGTCAGGAGGCCTGCCTGCTTTCAGTCACGGACGTTTGATGCAGAGGTAATAAGACAAGGTCAAACTACAGCAAAACTAGGCATGAACCTGTGTGCTTAGTGACTCACTTCACTTGGTTACCTGCACATCATTTTAGTTTCTAAGTCGAAGAGTCATGAATGTGTTACTCAATGAACTTGAACCAAAGCCAAAATACCCAAGTCCAGAAGCAAAATAATGTCCCATTAAAGGACCAAACTTAAAGTCAAGCTTAAGGGCTTTGTGTTTCACAGATTAAAAAGTAATCTAGCTGGGCAGTGGTGGCGCACACCTTTAATCCCAGCACTCATGAGGCAGAGTCAGGTGGATCTCTGTGAATTCGAGGCCAGCCTGGTCTACAGAGTTAGTTCCAGGACAGGCTCCAAAGCTACACAGAGAAACCCTGACTCGAAAAACCAAAACAAAAGTAATCTAAAACCCAAAGCAAGAACCAGATTCAGAAATTTTAAACTCACAAAACTAATCTTAAAATTATCTGCATTTTGGAAAAAGAATAAATTATTCAGGCTCTAAGAAACACCGAACCCTGTGCTTCTTGTCACAACAAAATAGGTAACAACACGCCCCTTTCCTCCTGTCTCCAAATTGCTGAGACAGAGGTACAATGACCAGAAAGCAAATGTAAATCTATCTCCTGAGACCAAAAAATGAACACTGATCTATGGGACTCTTGCCTATGTTTGGTTCCCTATATTGTATTTATAGATTTAGACTCATTTTAGGAGGGAGATTTGTTCATGTCCACAGCAACTATACTCACGCATGGATCTTGCCATTGTAGTACTGAGTATCCATGATGATCACTAGATGAGCAGCAACATTCATACCCCAGCAGAGACTTCGAGAAGCCACCACCACCTGGATAGCCCCTGAGCAGAGGAAAGGAGAGGAAGACTGAGGCCAGGGCTCCCAGAAACTATCTGCTTCACTGGCAGGCGGCAGCCAACCTTGTGCTACATCTGAAAGCTCAGCATGAGGCTTTCTGGGAACAGGGTCTGACACTCCGCTCAGCATGAGGCTTTCTGGGAACAGGGTCTGACACTAACGGAGTGCCAAGGGCAGCACCACACTACAGTGCCTTTTGGTCTGAGACTAACCTAGAAGAAACAAAGCAATTCTAGAGAACTCAAACCCAGGGAAAGAAAGACCTGCACTGCCTAGTGGACCAGCCCTCTGATGGTGAAAGCCAACACCAACCCAACCACGGCTAGTTCAGCCCGTGGCTAAAAATCAAACATACTCGGAGCGTACCTAAACCAGGCAGACTCAAAGAGTGATCAACTGGTGGGATCAGCCACACCAAGGCTCTGCCACAATGTGCCAGAATAGTAAACAATGAATAAAATGCCACAGGTCAATAAAGGATAGCTAGCAAGAGGCACCAACCAGAGGAGGATCACAAATCCATAGCCATCTCTTAAGTTCTAACCCCACCAGTCTGGTCTCAACACAGAACCAAGGTCTAGTGGCATGGCCCAGAATCCCAGAAAACCAGGATATGAAATGGGACCAGCTTACGTGCCTACCCATTTTCTAATAGAGCAGAGAGGACTATCTGTCTCAACCACATCATAAGTGTTTAAGAGGGATCTTAATGGGATAAGACAGCTAGTATTATGAAAATGAGTACTACCCAATAGAAAAATGTCATCCACATCCTCAAGTTTAGTACATACAATTGTGATAGTTTTGGATGTCATGAGGTTTTCTTACCTGAGCTGAAGAGCTGCTCTACCAGGCGCCTCTCCATGGGGCTCAGTCCTTCATGTAAGTAGCCCACCCCATTTAACAGTGTTTCCTTGAGCGTGCTGTCACTTAGCTTCTCCAAGTAAGGGATCAGATCTTTTTCAGTACAGTGCAAGAACCTGGGCAGAACAACAACAAGCATACGTCAGAGGCATTTCAATCTACGGACCCTGCCCTTATTCCCTGCCTTGCCCAGGACACACAGCAGGGGGCGACTTCACTTAACAATTCTCATGCACCCACCCACCCCAGAAATTAGACCATACCCCACCTCTGCCGTTGGATGTCTGCTGCACAGGTAGTGAGAATGTCTATTGCAGTGAGGCGGGTCTGCTTCCGAGATGGGACAAAAACGATGACAGGCTTCTTGGGTGAGTGTTTGGTGATAGCATGGTACACGGGCTTGGCCATAGACAGCAGGCGAGTCTGTGTATGGCTGATGTTGAAGCCCTGGAAACAAAGGCAGAAGAAAAGACACTGAGGTCACTAGACCTGAGTGACTAGGGATCGCTGAGGTCATGGAGGAATGGAGACAGGGTCCTACCTGGATATGCAGTTCCAACGGTACGGGGCGCACATTAGGGTGGAAGTTGAAGGTGGAGGTGGCACTGCAGCCTAGCCAGTGAGCCACATCCTTGGCGTTGGAGAGTGATGAGCTAAGTGCCACAATGCGAATGGGCCGCTCGATCTGGGAGGAGATGTATCGCATCCGGGAACAGATCACTTCCAACACAGGCTGGGAAAAAGGGAAGGAGTCATTGCAGGCCCAGGCTCCCATCTTCTGCCTGAGCGTCCCTTTGTGAACCACCTGACAGTCCCAATTATGGGCTCTCCTATCTGTCATTCCCCTGCCCCAAGAGACAACCTTCACTAAGCAACACTTTAAGAGTTCTATCAAAAAAAAAAAAAAAAAATCTCAGGTCACCCTTTTGGAACAAAGCACTAGGCAGAAATCTTTGTGAAGACCCTAGCCCCTGGCCCAATGTAAAGTCACCGTGTGGGTCCCAGTCCTGCTCTATGCCGCAGTCAAGCATACCCCATTCTCGCCCCCAATCAGGTGGACCTCATCCACCACAAAGAGGTTAATGTTCTGGACATTCTTGCGCTGCTTCCACCTCCGGGAAAGGATGTCCCACTTCTCGGGGGTGCTGATGATGATGTTTCCTTTGCCCAGAAGCTTCAGGTCTGTGCTCGTCTCCCCCGTCAGCAGCACCACCTTCTTGTTGAGCCGGTCTTGAAACTTCTCATACCAGTCCATGTACACCTAGCAGGCAGGGGAGGGGAGGGAAGGGGAGACGAGACATAAGATCAGCAGGTCATACACACATCTCTCACTTGCTAGGAGGAAAACTGAGAAGCCAGATACCTTATACTACTTTTTTTGTTTTGAGATGGAGGCTGACCTCAAACTTATGGGTTCAAGTGAACCTCCTGCCTCAGCCTCCTAAGCAGCTGGGGTGACAATCATGTACCACCACACTCTATTCATGATACTATACAGTTTACACCAGCTCTTCAATTGACAAGGAAGCTTTTCTTTAAGAAATTATATGCAGTTGTCAGAAATGAGAAAACCTTCATCTGGAATCAGAGCTGAAATGGTTTCTGGGAAATTCACAGTCCCACAATACATTACACACCTGCTCTGCCAGAGCCTCCATGGGAGTAATGTAGACACAGCGTCCCTCAGAATTCTGCAGCAGCATCCGGAGGATGGCAAACTCTGCACAGATGGTCTTCCCGCTACCCGTGGGGGCCCCCACAAATACGTTATCATCACTGTTGAAGTCAATCAGCTGCAGTACAAAGAGAAGCCTGGCACAGCTGGCTGTGTCTCACCATACTTTCTCCTGCAAATCAGGGAAGGAAAAAGTCCAAGATAAGATTCAGATCCCCTGAGATTTATGGGAAGAAAAATCAAGCAAAAAAAAAAAAAAAAAAAAAAAGAAACCACACCTTTCTCCGCTCTATCAGCAGTCCCCTACATTCTCTAGAAATACTCAAATACAGAGGGTGAGCCCAGGCCCTGGGATCAAGACTGGGCTAAAATCCAAAGCTCAACTATTTACTAGTTGGTTTCATTGGGGCTCCTTCCTATGCCTTGGTTCCCTCATCATGAAATGCAAAATTAACTGAAAAGTAACAAAGGATTGGTGGAAGAGGAGAGAAAACACTAGTCCTGCACTCAGCCTAGTACTTAGAATACAGCGCCTGCTCTGTGAACACAGACATAATTTTATTTTAATGATGAAGTGAGGTCTCAATCAATGCCACACTCGGGAGCAGGAGTTGACAACATACCATGGAAAGACCTTACTCTCCTGACCCTCCTAGGGAGATATGCAGAGCAGCAAAGCAAATTAACAGTGAACAAGAACTTCTAGGAAGAAAAACTTTCTGGCAGGCCACAGCTGGCTGCTAAGCTCCAGACCCACTAAGTGCCCGGTTCTGTGACAGGTACACAACAACACACTTAACATAAGGTAACCTTAAAAGGCATGCACAGTCTGGGCGGTGATGGCACATGCCTTTAATCCCAGTACTCGGAAGGCAGAGGCAGGGGGATCTCTGTGAGTTAGAAGCCAGCCTGGTCTACAGAGTGAGTTCTAGGACAGTCAGGGCTGTTATATAAAGAAACTCTGTCTTGCGGGGAGGTGAGATAAAAAGCATGCATGGAAACCAAATATCTAAAACTCAAATACCTACCTTGAGTCTGGATAGGATTGAAGAAAGGAAATTTATCTTGGTAAAGGCTCTCAAAAGCACTGTTTCTTAGAGCGGATACGGGCAATGGCTGCAGGTCCAACAGTTCAGTTGGAGGTGGGTACTTCTCTGGTAGGATCAGGTGCCGGAAAGAGACAGGCAGCTGGGTCTCACAAGCTGTCAGGAAAGAAATGGAAAGCTAGGAAGCAACTTCCAGCAGACCTCCACAGCCCCACCCATGAACACTAGAAACCTTGGGTTATGTCTGTATCACTCTCTCAAGACACTCACAGAGCCAGCGGTCAGAAACCACTCGGATGAAGTACTGAGGGGGCAGTGGTTCAAAGACTGGGACGAAGAATGTGATGAGGTGCTCATCCTGGGCATACTTGGCCTTCAGTAGGAAATATTCATGGTGCAGAATCACTTCACTGTCCACATCCTCCACCAGAATCCAAAATGCCTCCGACGAACCATGGACCTGCCAACACAAGCACCAGAGAAATAAGAATGGGCCAATGAAGGAACTCAGCAACTCCAACTCCACCCCTCTAACCAACAAAGCCTTGCCTTTTCATCCCACTGGAAATCTGGTGTGATCGTCAGTTCCACTTTCAGGGTGGAGCGTGTGATAGGCTGCAGGTGCACTGACAACTCCAACTTGGGGAAGAGATGCACATACTTGTGGATGGTCTTCCCCATCTTCGGCATTCGTATAAGCTCACCTATGAGAAAAGCATCGGGGCTGCTGTCTGGCCAGCCTAGCAAATCTGCAAACAGGGCCCAAGGGCTACTGTGCAAAAGGAGTGGATTCCACACCAGAGGACAGGTACCCTACTTTAGCCTCGGTGCAGTACTACTAATGGTTCAAAGTCAGGAGTCTCTAAGAGTGAACCTGTACAATAGTAGGATATAAGCATAGGGTGCCCAAGGCCCTAGGACCTGGGGAGCAGGAGGCAGGCAGAGAAAGATGCCTGGGTTGTAAGACCGGACAAGAACTTCACACACCTATCTCATTATGATTCAAGTCATACAGCCGCTCAAAGGGGAAGTTTTTCTTCTCGATCTTCTTCACTACTTCCTCAGGAAGTTTACGGAACTGGCGAAGAGGACACATAGACTGCCACCTATCCAGAAAGGAGACACAGCTAGTTCATTCCTGCTGTAGGGTTGTGAACAAACTGCCTTCATCACAGCTTCCAACACTTTAGAATAGCCACACAGACACTACCGTTAAAGAAAGATATCTGAAACTGCCAGCAGAAAGAGCAGACAGCCAATACTGGCTGTTGCTCCCCAACTTCCCCAGCCCTATATGTTAGAGGGCCCTTCCACTTCCCAGCTTTCACCCAGGTTCATGCCACATCAGCCACCAGGACCATACATCAAATGCACTAGGGTCCCAATTCACAGTGAACAGCCTCTAGCTCACCACGCCCTTACATGCGTTTGTCAATCATCTTGCAGAGATTCAGGGTCTTATCTGTAAGCTGTGCCCAACCTCGGTTCAGGACAATTTCGAAGATTGCACGCATCAACCGGCCAGCCGACTGGGGAAAGACAAGTATCCCATTGTAAAACCTGTGTGGCCTGCCTACCACAGCTTGATAATCTCAAGATCTGATGCAATTCCTCATGCCAACAAAAGTTTCTGTCTCCTACCCTTTCAGGTTAAGATAGAGTAATTAATAAAATATTTTGTCATTTTTTTATTAACACCACAGCTACAAATGGGAAGTCGTTTCTTTTGGAGAAGGTGACATGCCCAGTGGATCTCTCTCCACAAGCACCTTCAGAGCTTCTTAGTAGTTTGTAAGGCCTGCCCTTCCCACAGGCTCAAAATCAGCACAGCAAAGTGAGGTGGCAGCAAGAAGCTGGCCTGCTGGAACAGCAGTGTCAGGCCTCCTTTCTTCTAGGCACACAGCACAGAAGGCACCGGAACTGTCTGAACTCTGCTCACCACTCAGTGCAACTCTGTCCTCACCTGTGTCACATACACCATGTCAGCCATCAGTGCAAAGCCCTCCAGTTTCAGCTGTGAGATGAAGGCTTGGAGAAGCACGTTGATCTGCAAAGAAGCAAGGACAGCTAGCAAAGGCAAATCATGGGACAATTCAAGACACTGTTTACATTTCTGCTCTAGTACATGTGCCAAACAGGATCATCCAGAGTTCTTGATTTACATGTTAAATAATTATTATTCCACGTAAAGCATATGTGAGAAGGTAGCAGAGTAGGAAAATTGGGGAGTGGGGGCATGGCCAGTGGTACAGCACAGGACAGATCAATCCCTAACACCCTCCAAAGAGCAAAAGAATTACAACATATGAAATCAAGTTCAAAGTCCATCTTGTGGAAACTGAGTGTTCGTGTTTGAAAGTGAAGACGTGCTCACCTTAGCACTGGGTTCTTCAATGCTCTCCTTTACAGGGATGGGCACCCTCTCCAGCAACTTCTGCAGCTCCAGCTTCTCCTCCTGCCACAAGAAAAGACAGGTTATATATAGAAAACCCACAGGGCAAGAGACAAGGAAAGAAGTCATTCAGAAGCCCAGCAGGGAGTCCCAATTCCTGTCCTGGCATGCTCATAGGCTCACCTCTCTCACAGTGATGTTCTTGAACTCTGAGGACAAGGAGAACACTCGGAAAAGTTCAATCTCGCTCAGAGTGGGCTTCAGGAGCTGGTTGTAGGTCTGCACAGTATCATTGGTGATGTAGTAGTGACTAGCTATCCGGCCAAGTTCTGTTACCTAGAAAGAAGGCAGACTCAGTACAAGGCTGATCAGTGATCACCCATAACATCTAGCAACAAGTGGCTGTCTTAAGACTACAAGCAGATGAACTCCGTGTGGTACAATTGCCTGCCTAAAACAAGCAACACGGACACAAAAAGAAAGATGATAAAACAAAGTGACCCATGGAAAACTGATGCACATGTAAATCAAACAGCCAAATGACCTACCTCAGCTCAAACTTAGAGATCTATCTACCACTTTTAAAATCCAGGGCCTGGAGAGATGCTTTAGTGAGGGACAGTTGCTCTTCCAGAAGAACTATGGTTCAATTTCCAACACCCACATGGTGGCTCACAACCATCGCCAGTCCAGGGCAGCCAATGCCCTCTTCTGGCCTCTGTACGGACCAGCCACACCTGAGGTACACAGACCAACATGCAGGCAAAACACTCTACACATAAGTAAATAATAAAAATTTAAGAGTAAGTAGAAATTTGGAAGTCAAGTTCATAGCTCAAAGAGCACAGTCTAATTCCCAATCTCTACAACAGGTAATCAGACAGGCAATACACAGATCAAGGGACCTAAACTTTTGCTAAAACATTCTCAAAAAACCACATGCTAATCACCTGAAAGTTGCCTGTCTTCTTGTCATACTTGACCAGATTGTTCTTGTCCAGCATCAAGGCAGCAGTGTGTACAAGATCTAGTCGGCGCTGGTCCAGCAAGGGATCTCCCTTGAGGTCATCATGAGAGATGCCATAGAGGGTTGGGGACCGGAGCATTCGGATGTACAGGTAGGCGTAGCCCAGCCAGTTCACTGCATCCTGCAAGACAGCTCACGGTGTTTAGCATGAAGAGCTGCTAATGTCCAAAAAGAAGCCTCACAGATCGCTTGGACATTAATTCTCAAGCACAAGGACACACATTACAGTGTCTACTGGATGTTTTCAGTATTTGAATTTAAAAAGCCTTTCGAGTATCTTAAACATAAAAAGAACTATCTGCCCTAAACTCAAGAAGCTTACCCTGCATGCAGAGCCTGAGACACTGCTGCTGACCCTAAACATCCACCACTCCAAGTCTCTTGAGGCACTGAGGGAAAAGTGTAAAGCCAAGGACAAAGCCTGCCCTACCTTTGCGTTCTGGACGTTCCCCAGCACAATTTCCGCATTGAGCATGTCAGGCAGCTTTGATACCATTTGGCTCTCAATAGGAAGTTGCTGGTTGAGGAGGGACAGGTAGTACTGTAGCTCTCCATGAGATGTGATGAGTATACCTTCACCCTTGGTGTCATACTGAGGTCGTCCAGCACGACCCAGCATCTAAGTCAGAAGAGATAAAAAAAAAAAAAATGCCATAGCGGAGCTTTTGACAAGAGTCTACACACTTTAGAATTGGCCTTGATTTGCCATCTTTCCAACTTCCTTGCGCTCCAGGCACAGGATGCTCCTCCCATTAGGAATCACCTCAGAGGCTCTATACCTGCAGGATATCCAGCGCTCCCAGCTCTGTCCAACGCCCCTTCTCTGGACTGTACACCTGGGTGCCTTTGATGATGACTGTATGTGCAGGAAGATTTACACCCCAAGCCAGAGTTGCTGTGGAAACTAAAACCTGAAGAGGCAAAGGAGGGCAATGAAGAAAACATACACCACTGCAGCAGGGTTACATTCCTGGCTTCTCTGGCTTCTGAACTTAACTGGAGGTAAGAGTGGATGTGTGTCTCAGTGTTCTAGGTGACACTGAAGCAAGAGTTGCTCCAGTCCCTTACATATTTAAGAATTAGGGCTGGAGAGATGGCTCAGAGGTTAAGAACACCGACTGCTCTTCCAGAGATCCTGAGTTCAATTCCCAGCAACCACATGGTGGCTCACAACCATCCCTTATGAGATCTGGTGCCCTCTTCTGGTGTGCAGATATACATGGAAGCAGAATGTTATAACATAATTAATAAATAAATTAAAAAATTAATACACCAAGGTTCCAGAAACACTTAAAGATCAGAAGCTTAGACTTGTATTAATCAACTTCATTACAAGACACAGGAAGTCCACCATCCCGGAAGAGGGAAAGAATGTGGTCCTGACCCTGTGAATTATAGTGTAGAGTGCTATGAAGTATCCATGTTCCCTCATGCAGTGTATGAAGTGTTGGGAGAGACAACATGAATCCCACAACCTTCTAGCCTGGGCTAGTTATTCCACATATCAAGTCTGGGCATGTACTACTGTTACAGAGGAATGGGATTCAGGTCCCAAAACCCACACCTGCTCACAATATGTAACTCCAATTCCAGGGATCTACTGCCCTCTTCTGGCCTCTGAGAGTATGTACCACATGCATGCAGGTGGTACACATGAATTCATGCAAGCTTCATACACAGAGACATAAAAGTACATCATTTTATATAAAGTCTGAGGATCCCACTATGAGCAGAGCTACTGACATTTTAGATGCTCTAAAGTCTACATCAGCTGCTCTTTCAAGTTTTGCCCCTCCTCACCTGAATATGTTTGTCAGCAAAAAGATCCTCTACAAGTGTTCGGTCAACTCTGGTCATGCCTGCATGATGAATAGCAAAGCCGTAAGGCAAAAGATCCTTCAGCTCCAAGTTCTGTGAACCGAAAAAGACCACAAGGTGAGGCCAGCCTCCCTGTGGGACTCCTCCAGGACCAAAGGAAACCTTTCCACAGGAGCCCCCCAAACCACATATAGTCACTTTTTACAAAATGTATATACTTATGTTTTTATGAATGACTGTGTGTGGAGGTCAGAGAACAACCTGTGGGAGTCAGTTCTCTGCCTCCACTATGTGAGTCCTTGAGATTGAACTCAGGCCATCAGGCTTGCAACCTTTATCTACTGAGTCATCTCCCTAGCCCCCAATTACTTTTAACCTTTATGTACTCAGTGCATACAGTCCCAAAGTAATCTATCCAGCAATATGAATCTGTCACGGGGCACAAGCCCGAGAAGCAGGTGGCCCCTCCGTACCTTGCACTGTTCTGCTTCTGTACGAAGGACTTCAGTGGAGGCAGAACCCTCTCGAAGAAACAGACCCAAGGTGTCCTTTTCCAGGCACATGTCACGGATTGCCCTGGCAGTCTTCCCAGTTTCTTTCCGAGAGTGGACAAACACCAGCACCTAAGGAGAATCAGGCTGTAGCTGAAGGATGTACCTTCAGCAGCTACTCTCATAGCACCAGGGAACAAGCTACAGGAAGCAGAGGCTGCTTCACTACAACCAGAAGCCATGATTTAGAAAGAGTCGATGGCAAAAACACATGCTGGTTGGGGAAAAAAAAAAGCCTAACAGGGCTGATGGTACCCAAAGGGAAGCTGGGCATGGTGACTCCATCTATAATTCCTGCACTGAGGTTGTGACTAAGTTCCAGGCTAGTCTCACTACTCAGAGAGTTCAAGCCTAGCCCAGGATACATAGCAAAATCATGTGTCAAAGAGCAAAACAGGGGGACTGGAGAGATGGCTCAGTGGTTAAGAGCACTGCCTGCTCTTCCAAAGGTCCTGTAAGCAACCACATAGTGGCTCATGACCATCTGTAATGAGATTTGGTGCCCTCTTCTGGCCTGCAGGCATACATGCAGGCTGAACACTCTACACAAAATAATAAATAATAAATTTTTTTAAAAAAAGAACAAAACGGGCTGGGCGTTGGTGGCACATGCCTTTAATCCCAGCACTCCGAAGGCAGAGGCAGGTGGATCTCTGTGAGTTCGAGGCCAGCATGGTCTCCAGAGCGAGTGCCAGGATAGGCTCCAAAGCTACACAGAGAAACCCTGTCTCGAAAAACCAAAAAAAAAAAAAAAAAAAAAAAAAAAAAGAAAGAAAGAAAGAAAGAAAAAAAGAACAAAACAGAACAACTCAAGAGGAAGGAAGGAATCTACTAAGGGCAGTGACACAGTCTTACAGATGAGAAACTAAACTAATCCCAGAATTCTACCTTGAATGGCAAATTTAAATATACTATGTATGAAGATTCAGAGACTTCAACTAAGAATATGTTCAGAGCCCTAAGAAATCTAAGCCAAATAAAGATGTGTTTGCAAGATAACAGTAAAACTACAGGGCTGGAGAGATTCAGCAGTTAAGAGCACTGGCTGCTCTTCCAGAGGACCCAGGCGCAGTTTCCAGCTCACAACTGTCTGTAACTCCAGTCCCAGGGGATCTGGCATCCTCACACAGACTTACATGCAGGCAAAACACCAATGCACATAAAATAAAAATAAGAAAAAAAAGGTTTAAAAAGGATAATAGCAAAACTATTACATTATTTATAGAATGATTTAGGAAATAAGTTTGAAACTAGTTTCATGTTATAAGATAAATAGTCCTCCTAAGATCTAGGGTCCTGAAGTCTTGTCATATAAATTCCCCTGCTTCTTATCAGAAAAAGAAACTCATAACCTCTTACTTCTTGCCACATTAAACATTGCCAACCTCTGTTCAACTTCCAAATAAAATGTGCTTTCATTAGATAGGGTTTCACTATGTATCCCTGGCCAAACTGAAACTATGCAAAGCACTCTGGTGTTGAACTCAAAGACCCAGTATTAAAGTCATGCACCATAGCTTGTTTGCTTTAATTATTTATTTATTTTGTGTGGGGGACATGCATGCACGCCACAGCACACCTGTAGAGGTCAGTGGAGTTACCTTCCGCCAGGTGGGTTCTGGGAATCAAACTCAAGTCACCAGTCTTAGGGGCAAGCACTGTCACCTGCAGAGCCATCTCACTGGCTTGCTTTCACTAGATTTTAATTTGCAGGTTTGTTTTTGCTATCTTATAGACAGATTTTTCTAGTTTCACCAACTTGGGAAGAGGAGATATTAATTATAAAACTATCATTAATGACTACAGTATTATTCAGATTGTATTTCATCTAGGATACATTAATAGTTCTTTTCAGGAAGTGATCCATTCCTTCTAAGTTACCCATTTACTTACTTATTAATCTTTATTTTATATGTATAAATACTATGTATGTATGTATGTATGTATGTATGTATGTGTGCCATGTATGTATCTGATGTCCACAGAGGCCAGAAGAGGGAGTCAGATCCCCTGGAACTGGAGTTTACAGACTGCTCTGAGCCTCCATGTGGGTGCTAAGAACTGAACCTGAGTCCTTTGCAAAAGCAGCCATTGCTCTTTATTCCATCTCCTATTTATGCAGTGACAGAAACTGAACCCAGGGTTCACACATGCTATGTCTATGCTCTACCACTGGGCTACACCCCCAGTTCCTAATCATTCCTTTGTTCTCTGGGTTGTTGGTGGAGGTGGTGGTGGTTTGTTTTTGTTTTGGATTGGGGGGGGAGGTGTCACTGTATAGCTCAAGCTATACAGTTGGCTTGAGGTCTTCCTGCCCCAGCCTCCTAGGTACTAGGTACTACAGGCATGTATCAACTCTCCTAACTCCTAACCACATTTTTAAGGCAAGAGTTTTTGTTTTTGTTTTCTTGGTTTTTCGAGACAGGCTTTTCTGTGTAAGAGTCCTGGCTGTCTTGGAACTCTCTCTGTAGACCAGGCCTCAAACTCACAAAGATCCAACTGCCTCTGCCTCCCAAGTGCTCGGATTAAAGGTATGTGCCACCACCACACAGCTTTAAGGCAAGTTTTGTAGTAATAATTAATGTCGTTTATGATCACTGGTGATTCTTGCTATTATCTTGTCAATTTTGCTTATGTCAAAAACAGAAAACGTTCAAGAACCATCAACAGACCTGATTTTTTCCAGCATGTTCCATGATTTTCTCATAGACTATTTCATTCATGATCTGGAAACGCTTGATAGCCTTCTTCTCTGTGATGCCCACATATGTCTGTTCCAGAGGCACTGGGCGGAAGCTAGAAGTTCAACAGTTATACAAATGAGATTTCCAGCAGAGAATACTGTGGGTAAAAAAGTAGCTTTCCACTGACCCAGAAGCAATAATGATTTTTAAATACACACAGGACCCCTAAAAGTCATTTAGTGTGTCCCTTAGAGAAGGGACAGGAAGTCTGCCTTAGTAACACGTTATACCTGTTGTCAAAGTAGAAGAGGCCCTTGGCAGGGTCAACACGCAGAAAGGTGGCCACATCTTCATAGTTGGGGAGGGTAGCACTGAGACCAATGAGTCGGACATCTTCTTGGGTCATCTCAATGTTTCGGATGGCCCTGGCCACCAAAGCTTCTAAGACAGGACCTCTGTCATCATGTAGAAGATGGATCTCATCCTAAAGGAAACCAAAGACAGCAAACCAGAAATATAGCCTCCTCCCCTGAGACAGTCTGCTGTAGAAGTATATAGCCTAAGACACCTAATGAAGACAAAAAAAGGAGCCTCAAGTCAGAGTCCTAAAGAACAAAGACAGCTTCAGTGTAGGCTTACGAGTGAGTCCTCCACTTTACCATAAATCTTACAAATATATGATGGTTCTGCCCAGGTTGTATCAAACAGGCCTTCACTTTGGGGCAGGTCTCTTCATCAAGAACAAAAACTACAAGGCTTCACTTACAATAAGGTCACACTGCCAACAGCAGTGCTTCTCAGACAGAGTAAGCACTGGAAGACCTAGAGATTTAAATGGAATTCAAAGGAGTGAACAGGCCAGGGATTTGGCACTCCTAAGAAGCAGCTGTATGGATTGCTATAGGAAAGACATGGAGGAGCAAGGCTCTAAAAGAAGGGTCAGCAAACTTTTCTTAAAGGGCTGGACATCCAGTACCAACCATGTAATACCGTAGGCTTGTGAACCATGTAACCCTTGTTACAAATACTCAATTCTGCCATAGCAACAATCAGGACAAGAGTAGCTGGAAATAGTACATAAACCAATCTACACTACTGTGTTCAATAAAACAAAAACTTGTAGCAACAGTTTGCCAACTCCCACTCTGAACACAGAACATGAACTACTTTCTTAGCCACTGTAAAGTATCAACCCTCAGAGGCCTGCGAAATAGCTCAGTGGGTAAAGGCACTTTACTGCCAACCCTGATGGCTCGAGCTTAACTCCCAGAACACACATGGTAGGACAGAACTGACTCTCATAAGTTGTACTCTGACCAACCTACACACGCAGGCACACAGGCACACACATGCACCTCCATACTATATACAACATCAGAAAATAAACAAATGCAATTAATTAAAAAAACAAAAATCAGGGGCTGGAGAGATGGTTCAGTGGGTAAGAGCACTGGCTGCTCTTCCAGAGGACCCAGATTCTATTCCCAGCATTCACATGGCAGCTCACACCTGTCTGTAACTCCAGTTCCAGGGATCTGGCATCCTTACATGAATGCACATTAAAAAAAGTTAAATAGGGCTGGAGAGATGGCTCAGGTTAAGAGCACTGGCTGCACTTCCAGGGGTCTTGAGTTCAATTCCCAGAAACCAGATGGTGGCTCACAACTATCTGTAATGAGATCTGGTGTCCTCTTTTGGCATGTAGCCATAAATGGAGGAAGAATGCTGTATATATAATAAATAAATAAATAAAATCTTTTTTTAAAAAAAAAGTTAAATAAAATATTAAAAAAAAAAAAACAAGAATCAACACTTGGCTCAAGGTCCATTTCCTGTGGATGCTTCCATATAACTGGAACACATGGCCCAATTCCTTACTTGTCCTGTCTGAAAATGCATTATTTACAAAGCATTTCAATGTTCTTGGGAGGACAAAATTATTTTTGTGTGTTTCCATTTGATTCAAAATATTTCAGATCTGGAGTGAGCTCCAGGGCAGTGAGGACTACATAGAGACCCTGTCTCAAAAAAACAAACAAAAATGGGGAGCGTGGCAAACATCATGCACTGACAGGGAGGGAAGGGAAGCCTCTGCGACATGCAGGTGCTGGGTTAAAGGGAAGGGCAGTATGTATGAAGGACAGTGCACACAGGAAACAGGTAGACACAGCAAATCCACCCATTAGAACACAGTCCAAAAATGGAGTCACTCGGGAGAAAACGCCAAGGAAACAAGAGTCTGGTGACCTCAGTTTCTTCAAAAACAGAGTTGTTCTTGGAATATGTTTTCGTACTCCTCCCAGGTATAGTGGGTAGTAGTGAGTTTACCTCAACTGTTATTATTCACAGGCCTCTATGAAAAACATGTTTTTACCATGTGTGGCTTACCCTTGTGACTCAATACCTTATTCCTATGATTCTTCTTAACCCTCGGAGTATAAATTGCCTGATGCTCTGAATAAAGTTGGCTACTGCGTGATACTTTAGCCTGCCTCTTTTTTGGGCCCTGCTCTCCCAGGTTCACCCCACTAACAACAAGAGCAGCAAAGGCCCCGACCATAACTTCTCCTCACGCTCGCGCCCGACTCACCAGGACGACGAGCCGCACCAGCTGGGTGTAGGTGCGCTCCCCGCCCTTGCGAGTGATGATGTCCCACTTCTCAGGGGTGCACACGATGATCTGGGTGGCACTGATCTCCTCCTTGCACAGCTGGTGATCGCCAGTCAGCTCAGCAACAGTGATGCCGTATGTGGCCAGGCGCTGGGGGAGGAAACGATGGATCATCAGCAAACCAAGTGACGGGGCTGGAAGTACGGATCAGCGGCAGGGAGCCTGCCTCATGTGTGCAGTCTGGAAGACGGCGCTCCAAGGGCCGCCAGCAGCTCCCGTGCCGGGGACTAGGAGAAGTTAAGTATCTGGAGAATCAGGAGGATGACCAAATACTATTTAAACAAGTTCAGTTCCACTCAGGTTGACGAGGCAAAGTGTCTCTAGGAGCCCCACATGGAGCAGGAAACTGGACACACTTAGGAGAGTGGAACTGGAGTAACAACTCACAAGCTATCAACCATATCCGTGGGCCAGACATGACTCCACAAGCACTCTGGAGATGCTCAAAGAAAAATGGAGTCCATGTAAGAGAGGCCAAGACATTTTTCCTTCAGAAATCACTTGGGTCACGTTCTACCTTGGAAATGGCAAAAAAAAAAAAAAAAAAAAAAAATCCAGAGATTCCCTAAGGAAAGAAAGAGTGGCACATAGGCCCCTCCCCCACTTCATGGCCATCTGCAGCCAGTACCTTCTCGAGAAGATGTGACTCACCTTTCCAAAACTGCCCACCATCTCCTGCACCAGGGACCGCATAGGAGCTATGTAGATGATCTTGAAGTCATCCACATTGATAGTGCCATCCATGTTAATGTGTTTCCCTATCTCTCGAAGCATACACATCAGGGCCACATTGGTCTTCCCAGCACCCTAGAGGCAGGTCAGAGACAAAGTCTGTTCATGTCTGATGAACTATATGGCTACTGCCTTGACTTTAATGGGCTAACAACGAGAGAGAGAACTGACCACTGGATTGTCCTATGTCTTCCACAACAGAACAGAGAATAGCCAGGAATGGTATGCCGCCCCTTTAATCCCAGCAGTTGGAAGGCAGAGACAGAGGCAGGCAGATCTCTGTGAGTTTAAGGGCAGCCTGGCCTACATTGTGAGATTCGGGACAGCCAGGGCTACATAGTGAGACCCTGTCTCAAAATAACCATAAGAATAAAGCCTGATGTAAAAATTAAGATCCAACTAGCCACCAAAACATTCCAGGACAGAAAAAGCAGGCGGGGCAATGCTTACAGTAGGAGCACACAGCAGCAGATTCTCATCTGTCTCCAGGGCAGCACGGTAGAGTTTACTCTGGATCCGGTTCAGTGTTTTGAAACCCTCAAATCCTGCCTGGGCATACTTTGGCAGCTTCTCCACAGGAAGCAGTTGCTAGAGGAAGAAATGTTTTGCACTTTATGTTATAGCATCCTTTTGCAAACTGTTCATTCTTGTAAGATTTCTTATAAGATTACTATTTTCTTTTTTTAAGACTTATTTATTATGTCACAGGGTTCTGGCATGTAGATGGTTGTAAGCCATCATGTGGGTGCTGGGAATTGAACTCAGGACCTCTGGAAGAGCAGTCAGTGCTCTTAACCTGTGAGCCATCTCCGTAGATTACTATTCTTACAAGATAACCATGATATCATTTTGTGATTCCCCATAATTTCATTCCCTGGCAATCACTGTTCATAATTCTCAATCATAAACCTGTCCAGAGACAACAGTATTGCCTCCTTGTCTCACAATGGGAAAACTCTGGAACAGTTTCCACCTCTACAATAAATTATCCTTGAGACAAGGTAACATTTTAGTCAATGGCTAAAACCAAACTGGAAGAGAGGAGAAAGACAAAATTGAGAAAAGCAATTCACTCACTTCTTCTGAGCCAAAGGGCTTGGGCTTCAAAGCAGGCACATGCACCTCTTCATAGCCCTTACGCTGGCGTCGGAAGGATCCATCAGGAAGCTGGCATCGTTTGTTGGCCATGAAGTGGCTTCCTTGTGTAAAAACAAGGTCCTCCAAATCCAGAACCTGCCGTGGAGCCAGAGCCTGGGAACAGGTAAAACAGTAACAGGCTGAGCAGGTGAGTTTCCCATCCACCATTGCCAGGGAACAGCCCAGCACTCACTTCTCCTCCCTGGTCTAAATCCATGGTCTCCAGATCTGTGTCCATTCGGGACTGACGGACTCTCTCTCTCCGGGATCTTTCTTCCTGAAACAGGGAAAGAGAAAAAGTACAACGATCATCACTCTCCTAGGTTCTTGTTCCTTCTGGGTTGGGTTTCACTCACAGGTACTAACTCATGTTTCCCCAAACCCAAAGATATCACTTTATTTTGAGACGGACAAGAAACCACAAAAAAGGGAACAAACACAATGAGATGCAATGTTCTAAACAGTATAACAGTCTACAATTAACCACCAAGGCTATACCCAAGGCATGAAAGTATGGTGCTCCATATTAAGCAAACATGTTCCTTTCCTGGACTGTGATAAACAGGTCCCTATGGTGCTAGGTGAAGACAGTGTCACAGGCATAACAATGAGTGTGCTCACTCTACTTGGCACCCTGACAAACTCCAGAGAACTCAAAGATGTTTTATTACCTCAAACACTGAGAGAAATGTGAAAGAAAACAAAGCAGCCCTTACTCTGATCAGGTCTTCCTTCTCAGTCTCATGCAGCTGATAGAGGAACTTGGAAAGCTCTGGGTCAGCTTCCATCTTTCCCATGATCCTTTCCTTTTCAGCTTCACTCTGAGCACTGGCCAACAAGGTACAGTATAAAACTGCAGAACACGACAGGGACAGAGAAAAGGTGGGAAAGAGAGAATGAAATAAAATCAACTTTTATTCCTCAGCAAAAAGAAGGTAATTAAATGTTGAAGCCAAAGAAGCAACAATTCATCCACAATTGAATGTGTGGATGGACACATGGACAGACACACACACACAATCTGGACACAACTGAATGTACAGACAGACAGACAGACAGACAGACAGACATGCGCACGCACGCACACATGCACGCACACACGCACGCACCAAGCAAGAAAGAAAAGTACACGGACTACTCACTCATCATCCTGTGCTGTCGCAACACTTTAATAAAGTCAAAAGTGTTGAAACCAAGGAGCAGAACCAGTTGGTTCTCACATTCTCGGTCATCACTTGCTGTCTGGAGAGAACAAATAATACCAACAGTAAGAACACAGCCATCTGTTTCTTCAAACACTGTCCCTGCATTGGTGGCCCTGTACTGGTGATATTTCGGTAAACACTGACCCTTTCTGACAAGCACATGGAACAGAAATACCTTCTTGGCCATACCTTCAAAATTTCCAACACCTCATCTGCCTTCTTCTGCGACACAATGGCATCATCATAGAAACGACTGAGCTGTCGCTGCAGCCAAAAAGCATCAATATCCCGAGGGTGTAAATCTTTCTTCTTCGAACTCATCAGTTCTCCTGAGGCTACAAGCTAAGGAGAAAAGCAAACACTTGGCTCACTAGGTCTCTTTATCATGTTGCAACAGAGTTACCTGTCATCCCATAGGTTACCTTCTAAGGCCTTTCCAGAAGGAAACAGCTCTATTACACTGAATTCAGGGGCACACCATATTAAGATTTCATCAACCCAGTATTTGGGAAGAGTAGCAACTGACTAAAATCCTAAGAAAATAAAAATGTTAAATGTTTAAGACTCAAACTGAGCTTGGTGAAACATCTGTAATCCCAGCACTGAGGCTGCAGGAGATTCCAAATTCCAGATCAGTCTGAGCTGTCCAGCAAGTTCTATCTCAAAACACACACACAGACACAGTCACAGACACACTCACGCACGCACCCGCTAATGACACAGGTTTGCATGGGCTATACAGTGTTAAGTCCAGTCTGGCCCTTTCTCAAAATAAAAATAAAAATTTTATATTTCTTTAAAGTCTAGAGCTATATAACTCTAACTCAAGTGTTAGAGCATTCACCATGCGGTAAGTTCAACCCACAGACAACAAACAAAAATAATATTGTTGTCATTGCAATGTTATCTACATATCAAATTTTTAAAAAAAAATCAAATATCCATCAAAAGGAAATCTGGAAGACAGGTACAGGCATGCCTATAATCCCAGAACTTGAGACAAAGACAAAGTTTGAGGCCAGCCTGGCTGCAGAGCAAGCTCTGTTCTCAAAACAACAAAATTCTAAACAACCCAAAAAGACGACAATCAGTCAGCGGTGGAGCACTTCCCTAGCATGCCCAAAGCCCCAGCAACCCCCCAACCAAAGAAAACAACTATGGCCCAGTGAGCTTTTCAGTAGGAGGAAGTGATACATCCAGAAATAAGCTGGTCTACAGCACGACAGAGACTATACTCACATTAGCTGAGAGGGTGCAGCGCACAACAGCCTCATCCCCTTCCATGTCATCATCAGAAGCTTCTTCTCGAACTTCCCCATACACATCCTCATCACCTTCCTACGGAGACAATCCCAATCTCAAGGTACAGTGCCATACAGACCCTGTCTTTCTATCACTCTAAGTGAGCTATGTGTTTACAACAGTGGCTTTGAGGTGAAACAAACCGTGTATCGGAAGCAGAATCACCCATATTCTAGGAACATTAGCGGAATGACCACTTGAAATGGGCTAACTAGATGTGTCTGTTCTCTTTTCTGTTTCTCACCTTAGCTGACACAATGACAAACACCTGGATCACATATTCTTTCTTCAATACATATAATCTCAAACTAAGACTACTGTCTAACAGAAGAGCTGTGAAGATGCATACACAGGAAAGTAGATTGTGAACCAGAAATATAGACACCACACTAGTTTGCTCACCACTGCATATACTCAGACACTGTGGAGTGTCTACTAAAAACATCATGCTCAATAATTAGCATTTATTAAATAAATTACTATGAGCAAGAAATCCTGAGTCGGATTGTTCCTAATTAAAACTACCAATTAACTATTCTATAGGAAGGGACTTAGCCACCTATATCAATCATTTTGTTTTACTAAAAAAGAAACTGAGGCAAAATGACATGCCCAAGATACAGACTCAAACTCAAGATTACTTGGCTCTCAGACAGTGATCTGCCCTCTGACTCTCTGGTATCACCCCTTCTTCCTGTATGGTTACAAATTTTAGAACACAAGCTCACCCACTGAAAATCTAAACTACATTTTTTTTTTTTTTTTTTTTTACATCTTAGAGACAGAATTTCACTATGTAGTTCAGTTGGCCTCAACCACCCAACTGTTGGGTTTGCAGGCATCTTGCTACCACTCCTGGTTCAACATTTCTGTTTTGCTTTTTACAACTGTCCCACTCATTACTATTTAATTATAACCTAGAAGTGGCAAGCATTAACCCCAGTGACTGCTATAACTTCTAAACAGCCAAGTATAAAGTAGGTCCATGCCCCTAGGTTAAAATGCTTCCTTTAGAAACTAGCAGTTCACAAAGTACTAAAAACATAGCAAATCCCTTCAATAAGGTGAAAACACTGTAGCAGGAGACGTCCTCACTAAAGATATGCTTTATCTTCTGTTTTTTTTTCTCTGTTGTGTTCTAGGCATGTATGCAATGCACACTGAATGATCTCACCACCATCCTCTCGCCTCGCTCTTTTATAGGCATCTACTTCTCACACTCATGTTTATTTTGTGACCCAGGGTTGTCTGTGTGACCAAGGGTTTGAGGCCATCCATCAAAGACCAGTAGACTCAGAAGTTATATAACTGAAGACAATGACACCTTTTCCATAATCTATCAATAACCAATAGGTAGGCAGTTAAGGAGTAGGGGCTCTTCCCCTATTCCTAAGTGACTTACTGCAGGCCCAAAGTAAGTAACTGCAGCTGCTGTGAGTTCAAGATTGCAATGGCTGTGTTGTACCTAGAGGATGGCATTTTTCAGTCCTTCTCCCTAGTTTTCTGGTCTATCTATCTGGTTTATTATAAACTGTTAATATACATCTACTAGTTTAAATTAACTTAAAATAAAAAACTAAAGTTAATCACAAAAACCTTTTAAGCAAATAACACAAACTTTCTAAGTTGAACACAAAACATTATAAAATGTATTAAGCTAGGGATTTAAGTACATGGGACAAGCTCCGATCACCTTGGGAACTTCACAAAACAAAGCAGATGGGATGGCATTTACTTAGTAACTCACCTCCTCATCAGACTCAAACTGTACATTCACACCATAGGTCTCATCAATGTTGTCATCTGAGGCGATAAGGAATTACAAAGAGGGCAGTGATTAGTGGAGACACTTGAATCCATTTCCTCAAATGCCTGATTTGCTTATTCTCAGGCCAGAAACACAGACTTAAACAACATGAAAACCAGCACCCAGGCCAACCTGCCAACTTGGATTCTGCCCTGCTCTGCTTCTTTAGCTCCTAAACCCTCCCTATTCTCTCCCATACAGTAAGTCTCAGAATAAGAAATGGCTGCCAGGGCTGAAGAGATAATTCAACCATTAAACAATAAAGCTCACTACCAAAACCAAGAAATGGCTGCTAGAATCAAGGAATTCTGGTGCCTGTTAGTCCTCCCTCTCCCTCTCCCTCTCCCTCTCCTCTCTCTCTCCTCCCCCCTCCCCCTCTCAAAGATGGAGTTTTCTATATAGAGCCCTGGCAGTCCTAGAACTTGTTATGTAGACCAGGCTGACTTGCTGGGATTATAAGCCTGTACCAACATATTTGGTATATTGGCTATTCTCTTCAACCAACATAGGATAGGTTATGGAAACAATGCTATTATTTTAATAATGATGCTGAGTGCTCACTAAGAAAGCCGAAAACCATTACAAAATATGATGAGGACACAAAGGGCTCAAGTACCCATATTCTGGATCTCCTTGTCTCCACCATAGTCTGTGATCTTCTTGCCCAGATTCACTAGCACATGGTATCTGGTATCATCTGTCTGACCAAGCAGCAAGTCAATCTCCCTTCTTCTCTCCTTATCTCGAAGCTTTTCATTCTTCAGGACAGCCAGAACTTCATCAGCCGCCCCACAAAGGATATCACGAGGCTGAAGAAAAAATACAAACATTTACTACAATGATATGTAGTACACTAAACAGATTTGTGACAATAGGAAATAAAGAAGCATATATTTTTAAAACTACAGGAGCTGGAAAGGTGACTTAAAAGTTAAGAGCACTTGTTGCTCATGCAGGGGACGTGGGTTCAATTCCCAGCACCCACTAGATGGCTCAAAAAAAATCACAACTCAAGTTCCAGGAGATCTGATGCCGTCTTCTAATCTCCAAGAGCACTGGGTACACAGGGTGCACACACACACACACACACACACACACACACACACACACACACACATATATATAAGAAAGACAGTCATACACATAAAAAGCAACTTTAAAAAAAAAAAAAAAAGAACAGAAAGAAAATCTGCAGCATCTCAGGCTTTGATCACATTCATCAACAAGATACAATGGCAATGTGCCAGTAATCCTGGCACTTGGAGAAACAACAGGACCATAAGTTCTAGGTTATTCTTGAATACACAGTGAGTTTGAGGTCAGCTTGAGCTACATGAGACCTTGTCTCACACAAACAAATAAAATAAAATTTAAAAAATAAGCTTTGATCCCAGCACTCAGGAGGCAGAGACAAGAGGATCTCTGAGTTTGAGGTCAGCCTGGTTTACAGAGTGAGTTACAGAACAGCCAAGGCTACACAGAGAAATCCTGTTTTGAAAAACCAAAAGATAAAAATTAAAGACTATAGGGAGCTGCTGAGGATTTAACACAGTGGTACCACATGCCCTTAAGCGTAGCACTCGGAAGACAGAGGCAGGTGGCAGAGGCAGGCAGATCTTTGTGAGTTAGAGACCAATCTGGTCTACAAGAGCTAGTTCCAGGACAGCCTCCAAAGCTACACAGAGACCCCCTGTCTTGAGAAACTTAAAAAAAAACAAAAAAAAAAACAAAAACAAAGCATGAGAGCATGTGGTGTCAGTCCCCAGAAGTGGGGGGGGGGGGGATTAGGTAGATGCTTTTCAGAAGCAAAACAAACTTATACTTTCCACCAAGGCCAACAACTTAGGTTTGATCTCTGAGTCCCACACAGATGAAAGTTGTCCTGATTTCCACAAACAGAATAAATATTTGTAACTAATAATTTAACCAAAATTCTTGTGCATCACCCTTTCTCTTTCCAAACACAAGGCCTCATCCTCTGGTTCCAGCCTCACCTGGTCTCCAAGAGCAGCCTGGATAAAGCTGAGCAGCACCTCATAGGTCTCTCGCGTCTCCTTAGTTTTGGGCTTATAGATGATGCCCACCATTTCATCAATGCCCTCTGACAGCAGCGTATAACCTTTCATCTTGTTGATGTCATGCCGGTCCTCATCACGCTTTCTTCTCCTAATGAACACAGGGTGTGATGCTCAATGGGAGAACTTTGCGCCCCCAAGTCAAGTTTACCTTTTCTTTTCTTTTCTTTTCTTTTCTTTTCTTTTCTTTTTATAATTGCAATTAGACCAACTTTAAATTAGAAACCAGCTTCATTTACATGTCAATCCCAGTTCCCTCTCCCTCTCCTCCTCCCCTGCCCCCCACCCCCGAAGTTTACCTTTTCTATACATCTAATATGTGCAAGCAGGAACATGAATCAAAATAAGTAATTCCCACTTGACTTTAAGCATTTGAAGAAGTATTTATTTCTTTATCCTCATGAGGAGATAATATAATGGTATTTCAACTTTAAAAAACAAACAAACAAACAAAACCTTTTATTAGCCAGAGAGGCTAGGCTCCAGGGGAATCTACTTCTATGACTCCCAATAAACAGCTAGAAAAGAAGCCAGATTCTGAAAAGTGAAGGACCAAGGAATGTTTCTTCTCAAATTTAACAATTCTCTCAAGTCTCAACAACTCTCCCCAATTATAACCACTCAAACTAAACAGGGCCTGGGGACTGTTAAGACTTCACAGAAAGAAAAAGGAGAAAGAAAGCACAGTAGGAGAACATGCAACTTTTGAAATGGATCTATCAAGATGAAAAAACGGGAGAGACAACAAAACAAAAGCATCAGGAAGTGGACAACAACCGGAGGGAGTTAGGGTAAGAAGCTTTTAACAGTGGTAGTGGGGCTGAACTGCTGAGACAAGAGATTAACAAGGGTCTGGAAAATAGTTGGTGACGGGGCTGGGGAGAAGGTTCAAGTAGTTAGAAGCAATACTGCTTCTGCAGAGGATCAGAGTTCAGTTCCCAGCCCTCCAAACTGGGTAGCTCACAACTGCCTGAAACTCCAGCTCCTATGTTCCAAACTGTCTTCTGGCCTTCACAGGCATTTGGATGCATGTGCACATACTCACAAAAAAACACACATGCACATGATTAAAAATGAAACAGATTTTTAAGAAAAAAATAGCTTGAAGAAAATTAGCATCTACCTATGAATCAGAAACAAAAAGTACTAATAGATTTTTGTTCCATTTCATTGCACCCAAGTCCAAAGAAACTTTAAACCTTGAAGAGGTTTTCATTCTCTTGTGCAAACACCGCTGATCTTCCACAGGTACTTCATCAAAACTACTGCTCAAATGTTCAAGATGCGCTTTAGACTACAAGGAAAATATAACACCCCGTTGGTACCTACTTGGCCCGTCTTTCCTCCTGCATCTGTGGTTTGGTGCGTTGAGCCTTATCTCCCATCCGAGTTCCCTCCAACTTCCCAACCAGGGACAGAACCTCTCCTGTCGGTTCATCCCGGCGGGTCCGGTCAATAAGTGAGCGGTCAGCTTGGAGCACAAGATTTGAGTTCTGAAAAGATCATACTTAATCAAAACTTTAATATATAAATAGCTTCGGTTCCTGTTATCACAGTGACACCTGAAGATGGAAAAATACTGGGAAAAAGGAATAATCCCCTTAAGAAGAAACAGTATAATAAAACGCCAAGCACCGGACTGTCTGGTAAAGTGAACGATCAACGTTCCTAACAGTAGTCACAATAACCCACATTAGGTGAAGTGTTGAGCAGATTTGGGGATAACGAGTAGGAAGGGGCGGTTTGAGGAGACTGGGAAAAAACCTCCCGAGTCCTCACGCGCCCTAAACCCCACTAGAGTTATTCCGTCGTGTTTTAATCCAGCCTTCACCCAGATCAGATATTCCGTCCGTGTTTGTGGCTCCCCACGGCCTCCCTCGCCCGCAGCCCTCCGCCGAGACTTCACGCACCGCCTTGTACTCGTACTGCAGACTGCGGGCAGTCACATCCGCCATGGCTGCCGATGCTCCGGGAACTCAGGGTTCCACTCTCCACACGCTGCGAACCGCCTCAACAAACCGCGCCGGCCCAGCAGGAACGACGCAGGACAAACGTGCGGGACAGAGAAAAGCAACGGACTCCCTTCCGCTTCCGGGACGTACGCTAAAAGTGATACTTTCCGGCGACTACGCACCGCCACTAGGTGGCGGTTGCAGAAGGTAATACATCCGGGTCAGGGATTCCGTGGACCTAGGAAACACGCTCCTGCGCAATATGGTTCCAAGGACCTATACGTACGCAGAGTCACGAAGCCACTTTTAGTGTGGTGTTAAAAGTCCCTTTCTGTAATACACTTTTGCTTTCTCAGTCCAGCGGTCCCGTCAGGCAGGCAGGCAGGCATGCTTGCAGGCAAACGGAAGCTTAGGAGCTCCGTTTATTAAGGATGAGAAAGTTGAAGGAGCAAGTTAACATGCTTCTAATAACTGACTGGATTTCTCTTCTGTATTGAGAAATTGGGGAAATGTTTGCTGCCCCCAACGCTTTTCCTCAAGAGTCAATCGCTGTGGCAGCTGACTGAAGGTGAAGGAAGAAATATTTGCACCCAATGATCTGTCACAGTCCATGTCAGGATTATAGATACGGATTATTTGTTCTCAATGTGGCACAAACGCTACATTTACTAAAGAAATATATGAAAAGTCTATTCAGATATACTATTCAGATGTATTAAGCAGTAATGATACATTTTATGAAATGGCGGTATCTAATCTTTTAATAATTCTCTACATTGAAAACAAAACAGCTATTTCTACTTTTCCCTTTAGGTTTAATAAGCACAACTGACCCTTAGGCCTGTGTCTTAATCCACTGAGCCATCTTGCTGGCAATTTTTATTGTTTAATCTGTTTATCATTACTTTCGTTTTATTCTATGTATATGGGTGTTTTGGCTACGTGTATATCTGTGTCTGAATGTATGTTTGTGTGTCATGTATGCGCAGAGCCCAAGAAGGCCAGGAGGAGGTATTAAATCCCCTGGGACTGGAGCTACAGATAGGTTAGGAGTTGCCTTGTGGGTGGTGGGGTTGAAACCTAGGTCCTCTGAAAAGAGCAGCCAAGTGTTCATAACCATTAAGCCATCACTCCAGCCCTTCTTTGGCTTTTGAGAAAAGATCTTTTGGAGTCCAGGTAGGCCACAAACTTGCTCTGAAGAGACTTCTCTGCATGCTATTATTATTGTTGTTATTATTATTATATTTATTATTTATGTTTATAATGCAAATAATATATAGAATATTTATATATTATATCTTAACATATTACTAACAAAATATTTATATTATATTTATTATTATTTTATTCTATATTATTATTTTTTATTGTTGTTATTTGTTTTTGAGGCCAAGCTGGCCTCCAATTTGCCTCTGCCTCCCAACTACTGGGATAAAAGGTGTGTGCTACCACAGCCTGGCATCTCCAACCCTATTTTGTAGACAGCTTTTTCTTTGGGCCACCAGCTCACAACAGAGACTTATTAATTATGAAAGCTCAGCCTATAGCTTAGGCTTGTCCCACTAGCTCTTATAACTTAAATTAACCCATTTATATTCATCTATGTGTTGCCATGCATCTTGTAGCTTTTACCTCTCGAATGTCCTGCTATCTCTGTCCAGAAGTCCCTGCTATACCTCCTGCCTAACTATTGGCCATTTAGCTTTTTATTAAACCAATCACAGTGACACACTGTCACACGGTGTAAAGGGATATTCCACAACACTATTTCTTATTATTAAGAATGGAGAGTTGGTTTAAGGAAAGGATACTGGGGCTGGAGAGATGGCTCAGTAGTTAAGAGCACTGGCTGCTTTTCCAGAAGGCCCGGGTTCAATTCCCAGTATCCACATGGCAGCTCACAACTGTCTTGTAACTCCAGTTCCAGGGGATCCAACACCCTCACAAAGACATGAAGGCAAAACATTAATGTTCATAAAATAAAAATTAAAAACAAAAACGAAAAGGATACCTAGGTAAGCAAGTAGTTACAACAAAAGCATAGCTAATGACAGATATTATTCTCATATGTAATTTCTCTAAAATTAAGATTCGTATTATTTCCCAGGCAGATACCGTTAGTCCCAGTACTCAGGAGGCAGAGGCTGGCAGATCTGTGAGTTCAAGGCCAGTCTGGTCTACAGAGTAAGTTCCAAGACAGCCACAGCTACATGGAGAAAAACTGTCTTGAAGGGGAAAAATAGAAAATGATTAGTATTATTTAAATTTACTTGTGGTGTGTATGTTTTATATTTTATTTATAAATTTATATGATTTTTAATATTTTTATAAATGTATATGTTGTGAGAGGGTGCAAATGTCACAGCATGCATTTGGCAGTCAGACGACAACTGTGAAGTCAGTTCTCTCTTTTCACTTTTATGAAGCCTCTGGTAATCGAACTCAGGTCATCAGGTTTGTGCAGCAAGTACCTTTAGCCACTGAGCCAGCCCATCTGCCTTATTTTTATCATTTAGGAAATACGCCAAAGAAAATTCCAAGTAGCTTAGACAATTTATGATTTTATTTTCTGAGACAGGGTTCCTCAGTGTGACCTTGGCTGTCTTAGACTCACTCGGTAGACCAGGCTGGACTTGAAAATCCCAGAGATCTGACTACCTCTGCTTCCCGAGTGCTGGGATTAAAGTCTCGTGGGCCACCGCTACCCAGATTATCTTAGAAAATTTTTAAAATATCTAAACAAACGGTTTTGAGGAATCTAGGGAGAGAGATACATAAACACTGTGAGCGTGGTTTGAGTTCAGTTAGTGTGGCGCTCAATCATCACTGTGGTTGCCGGTCACCCAGCTGTTCTGTCGTCCATTTGGATGCGTCCTCCGAAGTGTGCACAGGCTGGAATGGAGAAATATAAATCTAAGAGTTAGCTCTTGCAGTTTCGCAGAACAGGTGATTAGAAGGAGTCCTCTCTATGCAAGCCGAAGGGACTCTGATGTGGTGTCAATCATCGGGATTCACCTTGCTTATTAGTTACCTGTCTCTTAGGAGGACACTGTGGGAAATCTAGAACTAAGTTTGAATTCTTTTACTTACCATATTTTTGTCTTTAAGCGGTTACTTCTTTTTCTGTGTTTTGTTTTGTTTTGTTTTTCAAAACAGCGTTTCTTTGTATTGCTTTGGAACCTGTCCTGGAACTCTCTCCGTAGACCCGGCTGGTCTCAAACTCACAGAGATCCACCTGCCTCTGCCTCCTGAACACTGAAATTAAAGGCGTGCGCCACCAACGCCCAGCATTTTTATTTTTTAAAATATTTATTATTGTTATTTTCATGTGAGTGTTCTCTTGTAATTTAAAAACTTGGCACATGAGAGAAAGATGCCATATAACACAGCTTGGGTGGAGGCTTCCTTTAATGGGGGGTGGAATGGGGGTGGGAAGTGAATGGGAAACAGTGGGGGGGGGAAGGTGGGATGCAAACGGCAGAGAAGCAGAGCGAGAGAGAAAGGAACAGAGAGGCAGAGATAGAAACAGAGACAGCGACACAGAGAGCAGAGGTGGACAGGGCCCTATTCAAAGAGAATGTAGTGACTGTGCACAGGTGGTGCTCTTAGTGGCTGCAGCTGAGGGCGTATCCTGTCAGAACCCCAAGGGCAGCCCGTACAGATTGGTAAATACTAACAAGTTGTGCCTGCGTTACGAATGTGCTCTTACAGGATGCCTGGTGCTGGCAGAGGCCAGAAGAGGATGTTGGATCTCTTGGAACTGGAGTTAAAGACAGCTGTGAGCCGCCATCTGGGTCCTGAAAACTGAGCCCAGGTGAAGAATAAGAAGTGCTCTTAACCACTGTGTCACTTCTCCAACTTCAATTTTTCATCATTTCTATCCTTAAACATTTTAAAATTCAAATTAAGCTAAGCTTTTATAATCTTTAGTTCTATCCTAGGTCTTCTAGTTTATAACAAATCAAATAATAGTCCGATTATTATCTGCAAAAAAATAAGCAGATATGGGACTGGAGAAACGGTTTGGTGGTTAAAATCACTTGCTGCTCTAAGGAGTCTTGTACCAGCTTCTGAACTCCAGTTCACGGGGATCCAGTGTCCTCTTCTAGACTCCACAGGAGCTTGCACAAATATGGTGCACACACGTGCACTTAAGCATACACACATAAAATAGAATAATTGTTTTTGGTTTTTCAATGCAGGGTTTCTCTCTGTGTAGCTTTGGAGTCTGTCCTGGAACTTTCTCTGTAGACAGGGCTGGCCTCGAACTCACAGAGATCCTCCTGCCTTGGCCTCCCAAGTGCTGGGATTAGAGGCATACACCACCACCCATCTGAACAAATTAATCTTTAAAAAACAGATATGCTCTCCATTGGGTGAACTGTAAAGAAAAGTGAGCTCTAGTTACATTTCCTCATTTCCCCCAGATACTTGTGAATTTATTAACCATAATTGTCGAACAGCTGGAGTACCCAATGGAAGGTTTTCTCCAAATAGTGACTCCTTCCTTGAATTACCATTTTCTTCTGAAAAACTTCCCTATGCTAATAATGTGATTTGTGTTTTGGATCAGACTTCTGTGCTGCTGATTGGAACAGATTGTCAGCTCCCATCTGGAGGTTGCTTCCTCCTACTGTGTCTCTGGCTGGTCCTACACATTTACAACATGGAAAGGCTGAGTGACCAACCTTCATTAGTATCTTCTTGGCTGAGTTAGTAAGGTGCTTTCCAACCAAGATATGCCATATGGTTTGGGGTTTTCCTACGAGGTAATGCACTTTCTGGAATGTTCTCGATGATACCTCTGTCCTATTGGGGTGGAGGGCACAATGCACCTTTCAATTCTTTATAACCATTTGCACATAGAATTCCTAAACTAAAAGTGGTAAGGTTGCAATAATCAGGAAAGGCCACAGAAAAATTCACAATTTGACAATGGATAAGTGGCAAGAAAAGGAAGCTGATTGCTGTTAAATAAATACATTTATTTTTTTAAAAAACTAAACAAAATTATTTCAAAACAAAACAGGTTCCAAATAATAGAATGCTCTGGTAAAAATAAATACCAACCACCAGTCTGAAAACAAAATAGTACATTCAAATAACCAGCTCAGGATAAATCAGTGGCCTTCTAATTAAACTGAGAGGGGCCCCCAGACCCCAGAAGGAACTCACCAACATCCAACCAATGGTGCATCATGAATGGATGGTCACAGAGGGGCCCGTGCTGGTACCTGGTGCTAATCTGGATGAATTCTCTGGTGAAATTGCATCTTCCTTGGGACCTGATATTCACATGCCCAAACTGTCACAATGCTCTTACCTCAAAGGAAATAAGAGGTATTTAATTAGTTAATTATTTTGGGGGTTTTTCTCGAGACAGGGTTTCTCTGTATTGCTTTGGAGCATGTCCTAGAATTCACTCTGTAGACCAGGCTGGCCTTGAACTCACAGAAATCCTCCTGCCTCTGCCTCCTGAGTGCTAGGATTAAAGATGTGTGCCTTCATGCCCCATTGAGATATTTAATTTAAAAATTATTTGGCTATATTTTATGTAGTGTTTGATTTGCATACATGTGCACATGGTGCCTGGGGAGGACCCAAGAGTGTGTCAGAGCCCCTGGAATAGACTTACAGATGGTTTCCAGCAGCTATGTGAATGCTGGGACCCCAACTTGGGTCCTTTGTAAGAGCAGACAGTGCTCTTAACTGCTGATCCTTCTCTCCAACCCCCGAATATGTGATTTTATGGGGTGAAAAATGAGTAAACTTGACCTGCAAACATACATTCAAGCTGTTCCCAAAGCCATGTTCCACTCTCTTAACTTGCTATGTGAGATTTTATTAGTACAGAACAAAGAAACTCATGCACCAAGGTCTTACTAAACACCTAATGCGGACCACAGGCAGACAGGCTATAGTAAGCTGGGAAAATTCGGCTACATGTTTCACATGCTATGTTGTTGTGAAGTATACACCAGATAAGACTGCTCAGACATGGGTTAAGGTCAATAGAAAGTCTTTATTAGCCAGCCGGCGACTACACTGGGTGTTTGGGATCCTGGTGTAGCATGGAGCCTTTCTCGGGGTGAGCTTTTAAACAAAAACCAGTTTCTGGGTTGACATACTTCAGGTAACAAAAACAGTGAGCCAGAAGTGGAACTACAGAAGACAAAAAAGCAAAGTTAGTGCATTTTGAAACTTTCCCAGGATGATATGGGCTGTGATGGGTTAGGCCTTCGTTTTAGTTTTGACAGGCAGTGATATCCATGTGCTGAGTTTTACAGCTTAAATGGTACTTCCATCATGGAGTCAGTTGTGCTAAGTAAGGTCTGGGTCCCTGTGGCAATGTGATGATTGAAGGGACTCTAGCCAGCTGGAGCATGGCAAACATGGCTCTGGCAGACCTTGCCTTTCTCCCCATCCCCACTGCCTTGTTTAAAACAGATTGCATTCCTAAAGCTAGCCTTCAAGGTCTATCCCCTTATTTGGCCACTTCCTTCTCCTGAGGCTGACTACTAAGGTCCAGCTATCAAAGTATTGAAGCCCAGGAATCAAAAGGCCCCTTTGTCTCAACTAATTAACATGTCCAATGAAAATTAAACACCTCATCCTAACACAGGGTTTCCCCTTTTAACTTTATAAACTGACTTTTGTCTATGGGCCACATCTGTCTCCCCTCTCTGCAGGGGCAGTCCTTTGTCCCTCTCCAGAACAACTACCCTTTCCCCTCTCTCCCATCTATCTCCTGTCTTAGTCTCTTATTCCCTTCCCCCTGTCCCTCTGGGGAAAATAAGTCTCATTTGAGCTGAGAACTTGGGGTGTCCTGACCCAATACCGTTCTTTTTTTTCTTTTTCTTTCTTTTTTTTTTTTTTACTTTTAAACATTCTTGATTTAGACTTACATATATCCAACAATACACAAACAATCTTTCTAAAGCCAGTGAATCTAGGGGAAGTCCTGGGACTAATGACTCCATCCCAGTCAGATACAGGGCACAACATGTTATGAACCAATCAACATTCATTGTTTAAGGCATATTCTACAAAAAAGAAAAGACTCTTTTTAAATTCTCATAGGAAATATTACCTGTGAAAATGTTACAATGTTAGACATAAAATGAAATTCTTCATATAAGTAATACATGGACTGAGATAAACTGCAAATTATCTAACATGATATTGTCAGAGTATAGACAACCCTGAGGTTACAAATATTTCATGGAAGAGAGAAGGTAAGACAAGTACACCCTCTAAATCAGACTGGCTTCTCCTGCTGCTAAAGCCCCCAGTCTCTTTAACACAGGGTCTCACTGTACAGGTCAAGCTAGACTGGAACTCACAATACTTCTGCCCCAGCCTCTAGAAAGCTACATTATGGGCCTGGGCCAGAAGACCTTAAACAGACGAGTTCATAACAAACATCTAGTACCAGTTTATTTTGATACTATGTTTAAAAAGGATCACACATTTAAAAAATTAAATTTCGGGGCTGGAGAGATGGTTCAGAGGTTAAGAGCACCAACTGCTCTTCCAAAGGTCCTGAGTTCAATTCCCAGCAACCACATGCGGGCTCACAACCATCTGTTATGAGATCTGGTGTCCTCTTCTGATGTGCAGATATACATGGAAGCAGAATGTTGTATACATATAAATAAATAAAATCTTTAAAAAATTAAATTTCATCTACAAAAAATTAATCTTATGCTATTAAAAATTATTACAGGTATGCTGAGAAAACAGAGTATTGTTCCCAAATGCCCAAAACCATTATATGAAATAATAACCATGCTAGTAAAAAAATTATGTACATCTTGAAATTTTCAATTTAACTAGTTTTCTTTTAATATAAAGAAAAATTTAAAGATTGACTTCAAATTTATTTTTAGGAATATAAAATATATGAGCTTTATTGTATAAAGAAAACAGACGGCAGGGCGTTGGTGGCACACACCTTTAATCCCAGTACTTGGGAGGCAGAGGCAGGCAGATCTCTGAGTTCGAGGCCAGCCTGGTCTCCAAAGCGAGTGCCAGGATAGGCTCCAAAGCTACACGGAGAAACCCTGTCTCAAAAAAACCAAAACAGAAAAAAAGAAAAGAAAAGAAAAAGAAAACAGACATCACCCAAAAGTTACTTATCTAAATTAAAATGTTTTAAATATATATAAAATTGTAAAACGACATGCTTTTCTACTAAAGATACTTGACATAATATTCAATGACAGGATAAAATAAATGTCCACTTCTACCCCATTTTTAAGTCACTGTATTGAACGATACATCATAAAATCAATGGTTGTGCAACTGTGCACAATTTCCATTGGGAAATTGCATCTGGGGAATTTCCCAATGGAGTTCTCTTCCACTGGTGTGTGTATTTTAATTTGTCTCATGTGGGTGTCTCTTCCATTTTGATGATAGGCTAGAATAGCAATCTGTATCATGAATGTGCGAGTTGGCTTCTTATGATTGTCAGTTAAAGGCACATGCCTACAGACAGTTGGTTCCACCAATTCAAGTTGCTGAATTTCTTGAAGGTTGTGAAAATTATTTCCTACTCTGACTGAGATTTTGCTTGGAGTGTAGCTTTCATCAGATTTATAGTCCACATAAATACACAATCTTCACTGTTGTTTTTCTTCTGAATTGGATGTTCACTAAATGAGGCTGAGAGCCATCAGATTGCCAGTAAGTTTCTAGATTGTAATCTCGTAATCGATCCATTCCAAAACCTGGTTTGCATGTTGACAGTGATCAAACAGTTTTGTAGCAATAAGTCTTTCCGCCAAAGCCACCCAAGCCCTGCCGCCACGTGGGCGCTTTCTGCCAGCTGCCCAAGTTCCGCCCCCTGTCATGTTATGATCCCAAGTAACACACAGAGACTTATATTAGGTACAAATGTTGCTTGGCCAATGACTAGGATTTCTCATCTGCTAGCTCAGTATTAATTATAATAAATTTATATATTTTATAAGACTATCTTATCAAGGATGCCTTCCGCTGGCACCCTCTCTTGCCGTCGGATCACATGGCAACTCCAGAGCAGAGACCAGGAGGAAGAGAGAAGGGAAAAGGGACCACGTCCTGTTTGTTCCTGCTTATATATGAGTCTGCCTGCTATGTCACTTCCTGCCTGTATCACAAGACTTCTTTTTACTACATTTCCCAGAATCCTCCTCGACTCCTAGTCCTGCCTAACTTGCTGCCTCATTGGCCAAACAGTACTTTATTCAACAATTAATAAGATAAACATACACAGAAGGACATTCCCCATCACAGCTTGGGAACCAATTTCCCTTACTGTCGAAGTCCTTTCTAACTGCTTGGGATCAGCACCAGGAGGTGTCTTGTTTCCTGTGGTCATTCTTAAATTATTCTGGTCTGCCACAATCCAGTTTCTCAGGGCCTACTGCAGGTCCTCAACACTCCCATTGTGGCTCCAATGCCATTCTTTTACAATTACAGTTTTAGGCTTTTCCTCTGGTAGAAACTTGTAGTCTGCTAAAAATGCATTTTAAAGGCTTTGATAGTCAAAAGGATGTTAAGGCAGATACGGGGGTGAAAAATGAATGTCTTTCGTGGGAACTAAAAATAGCCTGCAGTGATTTGGCAATGGTTCTTCAACATTTTAATTTTCTGCAACCGTTAAGTTCAATCCAGTCATTTATCCTTTTAGCATCTTCAGCACAGATGTGGTTTATTTTGGGGACTTCTGCTCACTCCTATCATCTAAATTGATTACAAACATTTATGTTAATGAGATTTTATTTATTTATTCTTTGAGGAGTGTCTCCATAAACTTAAGTACTGCCTAAAACTTATCAATCCTCAAGCACATGATTTCTATTAGAAAAGTATATAAAATGTAATGTAAAAAATAAATTTATAGCCAGGCGTTGGTGGCACACACCTTTAATCCTAGCACTTGGGAGGCAGAGGCAGGCAGATCTCTGTGAGTTCGAGACCAGCCTGGTCTACAAGAACTAGTTCCAGGGCAGCCTCCAAAGCCATAGAGAAACCCTGTCTCGAGAAAACCAAAAAAATAAATAAATAAAAAATAAAAAAATAAATTTATAAAAAAAGTATATAATTATTTTATTTGATTTTTTTAAGATAGGGTTTCTCTCTGTAGCCCAGAACTTGGAACTTGCTGGAACTTGCTCTGTAGACCAAGTTAGCCTCAAATTCAGAGATTCGCCTGCCTCTGCTTCGTAAGTGCTGGGATTAAAGGTACGTACCACCAAGCTCAGCTCTGTAAAATTATATTTATATAGTGGGTTTTTAATATGTTATCACATTGCAGATTAAATGCTCCTAATTGAAGATTAGATAGAATCCCCACAATTGCAAAGCTAAGTAAAGTTTAGAATGCAGGGTGATCCTGTAGTGACATTTTGTTTGTGATCTAACAAATAAAGTTGGCCTGAAGATCAGAAGGCAGAACTAGTCACACTAGTTAGCCATAGATGCCAGGCAGTGGTGGCACACATCTTTAATCCCAGTACTCAGGAGGCAGAGACAGGTGAATCTCTGTGAGTTGGAGGCCACCCTGGGCTACACAGGAGGTGTGGTTATGGTGTCTCCCTACACAGAGCTTGATGGTGGTGGCTCACACCTTTAACCCCAGTACTTGGGAGTGACACACCTTTAATTCCAGCTCTAGGGAGGTAGAGACAGGAGTGATATGGTTGGGCAGAGAGCGGAATATAAGGTCAGAGGAGACAGGTGCTCATTGTATTCAGTCTGAGGACTCTTAGGGACAGGATTGCTCCTTTGGTCTGAGGATTCAGTAGATGTATGAGCTAGTGGATGCTGCTCTGCTTCTTTGATCTTTCAGCATTAACCCCTATATCTGGCTCCGGGTTTTATTATTAAGACCAATTAGAATTTGTACTACATGATTCGTTTCACTTTAGTGATATCTGACACATCCTGCTGAGACTGAGGCTTGAGGTGTTGCAATTAATCCCAGCACTTGGGAGGCAGAGGCAGGTGGATCTCTGAGTTCCAGGCCACCTTGGTCAAAGAGTGAGTTCCACCAGGACAGCCAGGACTACACACACACACACACACACACACACACACACAACACCCCTGTTTAGAATGTGACCCCCCTAAAGTATCAAATCTGACAAGGCATGGTCACACAAGCCTTCAAGAGGCAGAGGCAGGAAGATGACCTCAAATTCAAGGCTAGATTACCTAGAGAAGGAAGATACAGTCAAGGTTATGAAGTTTCAAACAAAAAAAATATCAACTCTACAACAAAGAATTCCAAAAGTGTTTGTTGGAAAGGCTTATTTTCTCTGTTGTGAATTTAAAAAAAGAACTATAAAACACCACCACACCACAGGGTGAGTGAGGCTTACTGGATGTGCTCTCTGAGCAAGTGTAAGGCCCTGTATTCAATCTCCATATTTGCATACACAGACTCACAAGACTAAAAAGCTGAGCCACTAAAATGTTGTATAATGGCAAGTGAGGACAACCAGTTTCCTTTGTTTATATTTGTTTGTTTTTTATGTATATGAATGCTTTGCTGCCTTTAATCCCAGCACTCAGGAGGCAGAGACAGGTGGATCTTAAGTGAGTTTGAGGCCAGCCTGGTCTACAGAGTTAGTTCCAGGACTAGCAAAAAAAAAAAAATGTTTTGCTCGGATGGATGTGCTCCATGTGTGTACCCGGTGCTCAAGGAGTCAGAAGGGGTGTCAGACCCCCTTCAAATGAAGTTATAGATGATTGTGAGCCACAGCGTGGATGCTGGGAACCAAGTCCTTCCCCAGAGCACAAGTGCCCTCAACTGAGCCATCTCTCCAGCCCCCTCTGTTGTTTTACTTTTTAAATTGTAGCTGCCTTTTAAGCTATAGATATTCTATTCAGCAACTGCAAATCCACTGCAAGAGCGGAAGTCTGAGGGAATTCTGTCAGGCACCGACTCTTTCAAAGCTACTAAGAAAACTTAAATCTCTGTCCCGCTAAAGAACTCAAGATTCAAAGGTTGAGGTATGGGGACTGGAGAGATGGCTCAGAGGTTAAGAGCACTGACTGCGTTTCCAGGGGTCCTGAGTTCAATTCCCAGCAACCACATGATGGCTCACAACCATCTGTAATGAGATCTGGTGCCCCCTTCTGTCCTGCAGGCATACATGCTGATGGAACACTATATACAAATATATATAAATCTTTAAAAAAAAAAAAAAAAGGTTGAGGTAGACTCCTGCTTCCCAGAGAGGCTGAATAGCAAGCAGCTCACCAACTTGAGTGTCCTAAGCAGTCCTTGTGCTTGGTCTCGCCCCTCCTTATAAACCTTTCTCCACCTGGTTCTTCCCTACAACTTCCTATCAGCTAGTTGCTGACCCAGCCTCCTGACCACAGGTGAATTTTATTTAATCAAACACATCTTTGGGGCCGGGCGTTGGTGGTGCCTGCCTTTAATCCCAGCACTTAGGAGGCAGAGGCAGTTGGATCTCTGTGAGTTCGAGGCCAGCCTGGTCTACAAAGGGAGTTCTAGGACAGCGTCCAAAGCAATACAGAGAAACCCTATCTCGAAAAAAACAAAACAAACAAACAAACAAAAATCCCAAAACACATCTTTGGATCATTAAACAAATGTTCAAGAGCATAAACAAAAGTAACATACCTTAAATTAATATTCTACAACACCTTCAGCTTCCTTTCATAACAAAAATAGACAAATTTGATGGTTTTCAACTCCACAAGAGTTTATGACATTCACCATTGACACGTGATAGACTCAAATACTTCCCACAAAATATCTGTTGCGAAATACTTCAACAAATAGCCCAAGGCTTTACACACATGCATTTTCATCACTTCGTACATAAATTTGCCCACCTAAACCTTTTGCTGCTTCTCATATATTTTCAGTTACAATGTATTTTAGCTCATTCCACGACAGGTCTTACTGAGTTTGGGGGGGCCTTTAAAAAAATCTTGAAATTTTTTCTTTACTCCAGAGTATATGTCGTATCTAATTTTTCATTAATTTATAAAGTCTGGTACAACTGGAGTATACCAATAATCTCTTGATTGAGAACAAGGAAAACTGGAAATAAGTTGCCTTTAAAGCAGTTGCTTCTTGATGTTCCTCTCAATGTTGAGTCTTTAAGCAACTGTTCTCACCAAAAGGTGAAAGGTTTTAAACAAGTTTAAGGCTTGGATGGCAAATAGGCAGAATCAAGGCAATTATGTTAGTAGCCACTTCCTGTGTTGTTTATAATGATCATTTCATAAGCTTTTCTTCCTCTTCTTCCTCCTCCTCCTTTCTTTTCCTGCTCTTTCTCCTTCTCCCTTCTTCACACACCACATGCCCTGCTATTTCGTAACTTTCATCTGGTGTGGTGTATTGTGCATTTTGTGTGTGCAGGCCACTACAAGGGTATGGAGATCAGAGATACACTGAAGTGTGTCCTCACCTTCTGCCTTGCTTTGAGACAGGGTCTCTGTTATTTCTGTGCTGTGTTCACCAGCCTAGCTGGCCTCTGAGCATCCAGAGACCGTGTCTCTATTTCCCATCTCCCTGAATGTGAGCAATGGGATTACTGACCTCCTATATATCTGGCTTTTTAGTAAGGTACTGGGATTTGAACTTATGTCACCACTTGCCCAACAAGCACTTTTACCAGCAATACCTTCTTCCTAGTCTGTATGTATGTGTCGGAAGCCAGGGTGGGAGTTGTCTTTGCAGATGCTACCACCGGTAAAGATCCACGTGAGACAAGAAGGAAATCAGGTTCAGCACGACTCAGTAGCTGGTGTTGGTTCAAGCTTCTAGAGTCTGACACCAGGCAGTTTATTTTAGGCATATTTAAGTACAATACAATGGGGGGTGGTTCCTGGTATAACAATCCTTTGTGCACAAGAAGGCATGATTACATTGAAACTTCTCAAATTACGTATCACTTCTTCCATGAAGATGAGTTCTAGAGACAGGCTCTATGTGTTATCTTAAGGGCCTAGGGGAGGATCTGGTGTGGTCTCAGTCATACAGATAGCACAGAGGTCATCTAGACTATTAGCCACCTCTGGTCCTAGTTGTGGGAGCCTAGGGGAGCTTCTGCCTATAGGGATAGAACAAGGATCACCTGGGCTATTAGCCATCTCCATCCCCAGCCTTCTGGGCAGAAATCAGTTATACATCTCTTGCACTGAAGAGACAGCCCTGTGTGTTTAACTAATGCATATCTGATTTCCCTAATGCTTATCTGTGAGCACAAGAACCTTTGTGCTCCCAACACCTGTCCAACTTTTGCAGGGTCTCTCTCACAGCCCAGCCTGGCCTTGAATTTATCCCCTGCCTCAGATCTCCCAAAATTCTGGGCTTATATTCCTGTGCATGATGTCTGATTTACAATGTAAGTTTTTAGAGGATACAGCTAAATTTATTTCACAGAAAATCTACCATAGTTCTCTTTTCTGAGCAAGGGTAAATACCCACAATGCTAGAGTTGGCTTTGTTAAAATGAATCATGTTACAGCTTACTTTCACTTGTCATTTGTATAAAATCACCAATCAGCATAAACTATGGAGAGTTTCCTATTTTTCCCACTACTAAGTTAACAAAACACAGATTGGAGGGGTTGGGAGAGATGGCTCAGCTGTCAAAGAGCATCTGAGTTTAGTTCCCAGCACCAGTTCCAGGGGATCTTCTGACCTTCTTGAGCATCAGGCACCAGGCACTATACATGGTGCACATACATATATACAGGTAAAACACTCCCACACATAAGAAAAATAGAGCCAAGCAGTGGTGGTGCATGCCTTTAATCCCAGCACTTGGGAAGCAAAGACCGACAGATCTCTGTCAATTTGAGGCTAGCCTGGTCTACAGAGCCAGTCCCAGGACAGCCAGGACAACACAGAGAAAACCTGTCTCTAAACAAACAAACAAACAAACATAGAAATACAGCTTGGAGCTGGGCATGGTAACACATGCCTTTAATTCCAGCATGTGGGAGGCAGAGGCAGAGGCAGAGGCAGGTAGATCTCTGCGTTCCAGGCCAGCCAGGGCTACATAGTGACACCCTGTCTCCCAAACAAAACAAATTGGAAAACAAAGCCTAAAGAAAAAAAGCAAACAACAACAACAAAAAAAAACAAAAACAAGAATTTTCTCTGATAATGAGTTTTTGACAATTCAAGTGTGATCTTTAAGTGGGATAATAGTTCTCTAGCTTGTTGGCATCTCCCTTTTTTGAAAGATTGATTTACTTTTAAAAATTGCTTGTGTGTTTTGCCCACTGTATGGATGGGCATTCTGTACCTGAGTCCACAGAGACAGAAGAGGGGGTCAAATAGTTGGATCCCCTGGAACTGGAGTTACAGATGGTTATGAGCCACTTTGTGGGTGCTGAGGATCAAATGAGCATCCTCTGGAGGAGCAAATGCCCTTTACAGCTGAGACTTCTCTTCATATTTATTTTGTGTGTATTGGTGTCTTGCCTGCATATGTCCATGCATCACACACATGAGTTACAGACAGTTGTGAGCCACCATGTGGGCGCTGAGAATTGAACCTGGATCCTTTGGAAGAACAGCCAGTGCTCTCAACCATCCAGCCATGTCTCCAGCTCTTTTGTTCGCAATTCTTCTGTTTTGTTTTGTGTTTTTTTCCTTATTTTTTTATTAGTTCAAATTAGAAACATGCTTGCTTCACATGTCAATCCCTTCTCCATCTCCCTCCCCTCCCCTCAACCCTCTAACCCTTCCCCCAAAACCCCCATCTGTCCCCCACCCCATCACCCTCCACTCCCCAGGCAGGGTAGGGCCCTTGACGGTGGCTCCCCCAAGTACACCACATCATCCTGGGCCAGGCCTAGGCCCTTCCCCATGTGTCCAAGCCAACAGTGCTCTCAAAGTCCCTTCTTACACCAGGGAAAAATACTAATCCACTACCAGGGAGTGCAGAGGTCTACTCATTGACATCCATGTTCAGAGGTCTGGATCAGTCCTGTGCTGGCCTCCCAGACAGCAGTCTGGGGTCCATGTGCTCCCCCTTGTACAGGCCAGCTGCTTCTGTGGGTTTCACCAGCCTGGTACCGACCCCTTTGATCTTCATTCCTCCCTCTCTGCAGCTAGGTTCCAGAGTTCAGTTCAGTGTATATCTGTGGATGTCTGCCTCTGCTTCCATCAGCCACTGGATGAGGGCTCTCGGTAGGGGTCAGGCCGGCCTGTTTTTTGTTTTTTAAGACAGGGTTTCTCTGTGTAAAAGCCCTGGCTGTCCTAGAACTCACCTGCCTCTACCCACCAAAGTGCTGGGTTTAAAGGTATATAACACCACCCTCTGGTTTTTGTTGGCATTTCTTAACATGTACTAAGCCTTTTCTAGCCTTCATAGTTTATGAAATTTGCTTTGATATGATGATCAGCAGAGATGATACCACGTCTGAATGGATAGAGTTCTTTTGCCGTTTGTTTGTTTGGTTGGTTAGTTGGTTTTGTTTTGTTTTTTTGAGACAGGGTTTCGCTGTGTAGTCCTGGCTGTACTGGAACTCTTTCTGTAGACCATTGAACTCACAGAGATCCACCTGCCTCTGCCTCTGCCTCCCAAGTGCTGGGATTAAAGGCATGTGCCACCACTGCCTAATTAGTTTTAGGATTCTTACTTTGACTAGTGAGTGGTAAACAAGGCTCCAAGGCAGGTCTTTGAGTGGCAGATCTCCTTTCCTAAGAGTCACTATGTTTGGGGGGAGACACATGACTCCTGGGCATGGTCTGGAGGTGAGGTGTATAGAGGTGTATGCATAACACTTGCGTGTATGCATGTTTGTGTGTTGTTGTATGTGTATGTGTGCAGCTGCCTCCTGTACCTCTGGAAGCCATAGGTCAACATCAGAAGCTAGCACTGTAGACCAGGCTGGCCTCAAATTCACAGAGATCCACCTGCCTCTGCTTCCCAAGTACTGGAATTAAAGGCGTGAGCCAGTAAGAGACAGGGTCTTTTAATAAAACCTTATACTCACTTTAAGCTCAGCGGACCTGCCTAGCTCTGCCCTTTCAACTTTGAGGTAGGAAGTGTTATGCCTGAGGACCCAAACTCGTATTTTCGTGTTTGGGCAGCAGGCACTCCACCCACTGAGTCATCTTCCTCATGGAGTGATGTTTATTACAGGTGCCTACACACATCTCCTTCACTTTGCAGAGAGCCAGAGAGAAGCGAGAGTGGCTTTCCCCAGTCAGTTCCTAGTTCTGTCTCCATTATCTTTCCACCCAAAGTCTCAGTAAGTGTATATATTGTCCAGGAAGGAACTTTGTGAGGGTGACAGCAGGCACTTTAGCCTTGTGCCACCGGTCGATGCAGAGCAGCTGTATGTGAGAGGGTAGCCACCGATGCTCCCCGGGGGACAAAAGGCGTGTGCTCTAAGGGAGGGCCTCAGATCTAGTTGAGTCTCTGCCCGGGTCCGCCTCTTGGCTTTGAGCAAGGGGTGGAGCTTGCCGGGGCGGAACCCCTGAGGCGGGAACCTCTGTGGATTGCTGGAGTTCTCCCAGACCAGCCCCGCGCGCGCGTGGTAGTCGTAGCACTCCACAGCCCGTAGACTTTGGACTGTCGGAGACATGGTCTGTACCCAGAAAGAGTGCGTCGGGACCTCTCCTGTAGTTGGTGCCGGCTATGAACTGGGAGCATCGTGCACGCCCGGAAGAAGGCAGGGGGGGCCAGGCCGCGCTGTGTCTTTAAGAATGCTCTCTTGCTCATAACAGAGACTGTGAGTAAGGTGGCCCCTGATCCCAAGAGAAACCTTTAGTTTGGGTCTTTAATTGGGCCAGGAGAGATGGGTGGGAATACACTTTCTGGGTGTGGAATTTGGGAAGTATGGCAGAGGGGCTCCACTTTGAGGCAGAGCCTGCAGCCCCTGTAATTTTGAACAGGGCTCATGGAGAGGGCAGTGGGCTCAGTTCCAAAGAGAGGAGAGCCCCTCACCTGAACTCGATGTCCATGGTGCAGTGCCCTTCATGGACTCAGGAAGCCCAGTAGCTGGTGAATTACTGGGGTGAAGGCCGGAAGTTTCAGGCTTCAGTGGTTGGGTGGGCGGGCAGGGAATCTCTGCTACTGTCTGTCGGTTGAGTCTTGGCCACTCAGTTCTGCAGGCTCTTTCCTGGGCTGAGACGTGGAGCTGGACCGATGGTCATCTGCTAGCCTGCCTCAGAACCTCATTGCAGTACCAAGGAGTTGGCAACACAGTGTCTGTCTGGCTCCTGCAGGGCAGAGTGGTGGGGCAAGTGGTCTAATCACAAAGGGTAGGGTTGTGAAGTCACAGAAGATGCTGCAGCTAGGGACTGAAGCTGGCTACCCAAGAATGGGGAAGATACTGCCCAGACAGATTCTGTGTTTTCTGCCTGTGGAAGGGAGCCTCTGGGACTGGCAGGGCATAGCTGGTGCCCAAGTTGGACTGATGAGTCGGGTGAGGCCACCCCACTGTAAGGGTTCCCCTCCCCATATTATACTGGAATAAAAGCAGCCTCATGTTCACCCTCTGGCAGCCTAAATACCACCCACAGTATATGGAAGGAAAGCAGGTGACTCAGGGTACATCCTGCTGTCGCCACTTCCCTTCCCTGAACCTCCTCTGAGGCAGACCACTCTTGCTCCGTCCAAACTCAGCTCTACGCACTTTCTGTTCCTCTTGAGTAGTTGGCATCCAGGATTTGAGGTACCAGGGCTCTGGGGACTATGTGCTGGAGAACAGATGTGCCCAGAAAGTCACCACTGATCCCCACCCTCCTACTTCTCCAGATGCAGAGGCCTCCATGGCTGTGATAAGCCTGCTGTTCTTGGCAGTGATGTATGTTGTACACCACCCCCTGATGGTCAGTGACCGGATGGACCTGGACACACTAGCCAGGAGTCGGCAGCTGGAGAAACGGATGACCGAGGAGATGCGGCAGTTAGAGTTAGAGTTTGAAGAGAGAAGGCGGGCAGCTGAGCAGAAGCAGAAGGCAGAGAACTTCTGGAGAGGAGACACGTCCAGTGACCAGTTAGTGCTGGGGAAGAAAGACATGGGATGGCCGTTCCAAGCCAGTTGGCTGATGGGAAACCTGTGGAACGCAGGCCTCTTTTGCCTTTTTCTCATCTTTGAGCTCCTGCGACAGAACATGCAGCACGAGCCCGCCTTTGACTCCAGCAGCGAGGAGGAAGAGGAAGAAATCCGGATCGTGCCTGTCACCTCTTACTCTTACCCCTGGCTCTCTAATTTTCCCTCCCAGGAAGCCCTGGAATCCTTTTATAAACATTATATCCAAAATGCCATCCGTGACCTGCCCTGCACCTGTGAGTTTGTGGAGAGCTTTGTCGATGATCTCATTGAGGCTTGTCGGGTGCTCAGCCGCCAGGAGGCTCACCCACGGTTGGAGGACTGCCTGGGCATTGGGGCTGCCTTTGAGAAGTGGGGGACCCTCCATGAGACACACACGTTTGATGTCCTGGTGCCCATTGTCCCTCCACAGGGCACTATGTTTGTCTTGGAGATGAGAGATCCGGCCCTGGGCCGTCGTTCTGGCTGTGTGAAAGTGGACTCTAAATGCATGTGCAAACAAGAGAAGCTCCTGGGGGACGTGCTGTGCCTGGTGCACCACGACAGGGACCACTCGGCCATCCTGAGCAAGTGTACTGGCTCCATCAAGGCAGCTCTCTGCACTGGCTCACACCTGGACGTGTGTAAGGCCGTGCAGTGGTTCCGAAACATGGTGGCCAATGCCTGGGCCCTAGTGGCCCACAAATACAACTTTAAGCTCACCCTCCCACCATCTAGCACCTCCTGCAAGCTCAGGTTGGATTACCGCTCAGGCCGCTTCCTGTCGATCAGTTTGGTTCTTGGGGTGCAACGGGAAGACACCTTGGTCTACCTGGTGAGTCAGGACCCCGATCGAGAACAGCTCACCAGTGTGGACTGGCCCGAGTCCTTTGCGGCTTGTGAGCACTTGTTTCTGAAGCTGGTGGGGCGCTTTGCCCCTGAGAACACCTGCCACCTCAAGTGCCTGCAGATCATTTTGAGTCTTCAGGACCATCAGATATTACCCCCGGGAGCAACCCGCCCCATCCTCAACACCTACCACTTCAAAACGGCCCTCATGCACTTGTTGCTCCGACTGCCTCTAACAGACTGGGAGCACTGCATGCTCTCCCGCAGGCTCCAGGACCTTCTCTGGTTCTTAGGCCAAGGCCTCCAGCAAAGGTCTCTCCATCATTTCCTCATTGGTAACACCTTCCTGCCCCTGACCATACCGATCCCTAAGACATTTCGAAATGCTGAACCTGTGAATCTTTTTCAACACCTGGTGCTGAATCCAATAGCACACTCACAGGCAATGGAGGAATTCCACAATCTTTTGGCCCAGGTGAAAACGCTGCCTTGCTCCCCACTGGCTGGAGGACTTTAATGGAAAGCCCATTAAAAGAAGAAAAAAAAAAAAAAGTAGGAGAGGGTATTTCTGATTCCTCAGCTTGCAGAGTTTATTTCTAACATAACCAGAGGTGTATGTGACCTTCACCTTGCCCATGGGGACTATGGCAGAGTAAGTCACTCTTAGAAGCCTGTGAAGAAGGCTTCAGCCAGTGGAACCTAGTCTGGAGGCTGGGGTGGGGTAGTGGGGCTCATGGTTTAGAATTCTGACTTTAGTGAAAATATATGGAAACAGATGCCATGGGAGGAGTTTGCTGCTGAGTTGTTGAGATCCTGTTGTGTTTCTGTGCCACCACTGGAAGCAGAAGCTCCAGAGATACCTCCCCCCTACCTGACTTCTTTCTGTGACTTGCTCCATGTTCCCTTTGAACTGGCTTGTTAGACCGTTAGCTTAATTTCCACCCAAATTGATGCTCTCCACTTTGCTCCTTCAAATCAACAGCTACAGTTCATACTTTGGAATGTAAGTTTTTGTAACTTAATTAGTTTGAAAATATAAACAAGATATGTCTATTTATTTATTTTTTTGAGACTGGGTCTTACTATGTAGCCCTGGCTGGCCTGGAACTTGCTCTGTAGACTAGGCTGGTTTCGAACAAAGATCCATCCGTCTGTCTCTGCCTCTCAAGTGCAGGGATTAAAGGCATGCGCCACCAGCACCACCTGGCTTTTTTTCTTTTCTTTTCTATTTTCTTTTCTTCCAAGACAGGGTTTCTCTGTGTGGCCTTGGCTGTCCTGGAACACTGTCTCTGTAGACCAAGCTGGCCTCGAACTCAGATCTATCTGCATCTACCTCCCAAGTGCTAGAATCAAAGGTGCATCCCTCCCACCCACTGACTTCTTTTCTGTTTTCTTTGTTTCTTCTTTTTTTTGTGTGGTGTGACATCCTTGGCTGTCCTGGAACTTGCTTTGTAGACCAGGCTGGCCTTAAACTCACAGAGATCTGCCTGCCACAGCCTCCCTATTTTAATACAAATTTATAGCTGTTTTTATGTATCTGAGAAAAGCCCTAGTACTATCCAAATATTTGTTAGTTTTGATTCATAAATATGAAGTTAATGGTGACCCATCCCATAACTGAGATAGCATAAGCAACACCTGATGACCTTTCTGGTGCCTGGAAGCAGTACTGGGAAGCTCTGCTGCTGCTTTCCCAAGGGCTCTGAGATGAGCAGTTGGTTTCTGAGAGAGCTGCCTATTCAATGGAAAGGCTGAGCTGCCGTGTGCATTCTGCTGGTGATGACTTTCTATTCTCTCTCCAAAGATAACAGAGATTATTTGAACTTTGTAGTTTTGAAAAGAGGGGTCATCACAATCCAGGCCCTTTGCCAGGGCTGGACAGGAAGGTCTATGAAGCAGTTCAAGAGTCCTGATTCTAGAGAATGATTGACGTGTTTTCCCCTCTTTCCAAACCTTCAGCATCTTGAGTATGAAGAAATAGTTATGGGTGTGGTTGTTTATGAAACATCAAGGCTGTTCTGTACCCAACACTGCCAGGAAATCTGCTGGGAAGGAGACCCAGGCCCGCCCTTTGACTTGCCCTTTGCTGCAGTTGGTGAGGAAGGGGGTATCAAATGCTAGCTTTTGGGGCTTCTGTTGAGGAATCCACACCTTCCCTACCCCAGCAAAAATAAAAGCATTCTAGAAACTGATGTCAGTCAGTATTTGGAATTCTTGAAAACTATCTGCTTCTATCTTAACTCCAATAAAAAATGGAGGCCTTTTTCTGGATGAATTAGAATCTGTTCGCTAACAACATTCGTACATACCTTTCCCAGGAAGTTCTTATTCCATGGACAGCTCTAGATAGTATATCCTGGTGTTTCTCAGTGCACCTTAAAACTGGGGTTTGCCTCGTGGTTTCCAGTGGCATGGCCAGTGGACAGGAAAGAATAACTCATAAAGTTAAGGAGCATCTAAGTTATTAATTTCCATGGTACCTAAATCCAGATCTCAACCAAATTAAAAGCTCTTAGTAACTACAAGCAGCATGCTCTGGGAGTCTGCTGGGGTAGGAAGAAGGTGGTATGATTGCTAGGTATGCTGGGTTGTTTCTCATCTCCCAGACAAGAAAGAAAACGTGAAATTATGAGTGGGGAGAAGACTACAAAGGGGATAGTCAGCAAAGCTTGGGTGGGACAGAAGGTACAAGAAAGTGTACAGGGTGTGTGTGTGGTGGGTGAGTCATGGAAAAAACAGACCTGTAGTGCACTGGGAATATTCTTAACAATGAAATGGGGAACCTCTCCAGATAGGAAGCTAAACTTTATTGTGATGCAGAACCTGGCAAGTCCCCAGGCTGCAACACCGGTTCCAGTGATAGGAATGATCACAGTTCACTGAGCATTGTTGGTACTGCTCTTTTTTGTTTAGGAATTCCCTCAGTCCTCATATTGTAGCCCCACCACATAGGCTCTTTGTTGGTTTTGTTGTTGTTGTTGTTGTTTTTGGAGACAGGTTTCTCTATGTAGCTTTGGAGCCTGTCCTGGTACTTGCTCTGTAGACCAGGCTGGCCTCGAACTCACAGAACTCTGCCTGCCTCTGCCTCCTGAGTGCTGGGATTAAAGGCATGAGCCACCATCATCTGGCTTTCACATAGGTTCTTTATTGAAGAAACTGAGGTACATAGAGGGTGCACAATTTTTCTATGGTTGAATACCTAGTAAGTGGCTGCGCCTGGGATAAAGTACCTGCCCTAGCAACCTTTTACTGTGGGCCTTGGAGTGAAACAAGATTAACCGGTCCAATAGCTCTGAAAAGCAAAGTATATCATATTGTTTTTAAGATCAAGGGCAGTATGTAACTGTTTGAAAGTTCTAAGATTAATTATTCATAGCCTAGGATTTAGGAAGTGAGGAATTTCATATTGCTTACAAAAATGAAAAGCATTTGCTCAGAGGCCAAAAAGAATGTAAAGCAACCTTCCTACCCACATGCACACGTGAGCGCGCACAACATACACATACACACACACACACACACACACACACACACACACACAGGTTTTTCTATACAGGGTTTCTCTGGTTCCAAAGACCAGACTGGGCTTGAACTCAAGAGATCCACCTGCCTCTGCCTCCACCGCAGGAATGCTGGAATCAAAGGTCTGTTCCACCACATGGCCAGGATCTTGAAAAGCCCTTTCAACAGCAATCTCTTTTTGTCTCAGTTACTTGATGGTTTAAATCAGAAACTATGTTATGGCAAAAGCCAGCTTTTGGCTGAAAAGTCAGCAAATTTGTAGCCAAAGGTTGCTTGTTTAGCCAATTGGTAACTATTGGTCCTCCCCCAAACTAAGGTTGTTTGTCTGGGATTTTAAGGAAGTAGAATCTGGTGGAGTACAATCCATCTTCTGGACGCCTACCAGTCAGTGGGGGAGGGGCCGACTACGTCACTTCTGTACAAACAGGGGAATTGAGTTTCACATGCCTCTGATACCAATGATAAATCACTTAATCTTTTGGCACCCTCAGTAGCCTTAACCAAAACAAAGGCAGCATTCAGAGGAGGATGTGAAAGACCTGCCTGCTCTGGGCATGCTTGGCCTACAGACACTGGGTATGGAGCTGGCACAGAGCCAAACAGTCAGCCTATGAGGCTCATTATGGCCCCAGAATTACAGCCTCCAGTGGGTCACCCAGGATCTTTCCTTTGTCAGAGTTTCCAACCCAGTTCTTCACGGAGTCTAATTCAGAGACACCTGTTACTCCTCCAACACTTGTTGCTCTTCCGTTTGAACATCAAAGCCTCAAATAAGTAGCCTTCGGTGAATCTGGGAAGGCTTTCCTGGGGAACTGGCAGGAGCCAAAACCTGAGCTAACTGGAGGAAGATGGAGATGCCGAGAATTCTAGGTGGAAGAGAGCATGCAAGCAGAGGAACTATGGTCGGAGCAGGCAGGATGAAGGCAAGTCTGTAAAAAGGCCAGAGGGGATGGATGAAGGGAGGTGACAAGATCAAAATGAGGCTGAAGAGTCTATGGGAGTGGGGGTGGGGCAAACCCTGTAGGTCCTTCTAGGCTCCTTTGGAAGTTCCCAGAACAAAGGAACCTTTGAAGGGGTTTTAGACCTCTGGGAGGAAGTGGTAGCAGACAAGTGGAATGACCTCACATTTACACTTGGCAAGCACCATTCTAGGCTCCTGGGAAAGGAGTGATGTGGCTGCAAAGGTGAGGGGCCTGCAGAGATTTTTCAGACGCAAAACCAGTAATGGAGAAGGTGGGGAGCATCCAGTCCTGGGCACTGATGTGTGCACTTCCTGGGTGGCTGACGGTAGCATTCAGGAAGGTGAGGAGCACTGTAGTCTCTTCTTTCCATAGTTCCACTGTGGTGGGATATCCATCAGAGAGAACAGCTCAGAAATATTTTTTGTTTGTCTTTAAAGATACTCGCTACTAACCCTGACAACTTTATAATTAATTTTTTAAATGTACATTGGTGTTTTGCCTGCATGTGTTTCTGTGTGTGGGTGTTGGATCCCCTGGAACAGGAGTTACAGACAGTTGTGAACAACTATGTGGGTGCTGAGAATCGAATCCAGGCCCTCTGGAAGAGCAGCCCGTGCTCTTAACCACTGAGCCATCTCTCCAGCCCCATAAATGGGTTTAAGTTCAGAGAAAATATTTGTTAGACCGCCGGTAACTATACTGGGTGTTCGGGATTCTACCTAGTGTGGCCCCGAGACTTTCTCAGTGTGAGCTTTTGAGCACAAAAACCATATCCTGGGTTAACATACTTCAGTTAACAAGAGCAGCTAGAAGTAGAACTACAGAAGCCAAAAAGCAAGGTTTGTACATTTAGAGACTTTCCCAGAACTATGGACTTGGGATGGGTTAGGTTTTTGTTTTAGTTTTGTCAGGTGGTGCTGTCTACATGCTGAGTTTTCCAGCCTGAATGGTACTTTTATCATGGATCCAGTTGTGGTAAGGACTGGGGCCACGTCACACCACTTCTGCCTCATCCTAAAGTAGTTCTGATAGAACAAGTTCATGCAAAAACTAAGTAGCTTTAAAAAGTAGCTTTTGGAGTTGGAGAGATGGCTTAGAGTACTTGTTGCTCTTGTAGAACACCTGAGTTCCATTTCTAGAACCCACATGGTGTTTACAAATATCTGTAACTCTAGTTCCAAGGGATCTGACACCCTCTTCTGAACTCCTCAGGAACCAGCCATGCATGTGGCCAATATGCATATGTACAAGCAAACCACTCATACACATAAATCTTTTTTCAGTATCTTTCAACAAAAGGCAGAGCTTTGGTTACCAAAATGAGGGGCACTAATGACATTTAGTAAGCAGGCAAATAATGTCAAGGGTGCTAAAAAGCTACACCTTAAAAAAAAAAAAAAAGGTGGAGCCGGGCGTTAGTGGCGCACACCTTTAATCCCAGCATTCGGGAGGCAGAGGCAGGCAGATCTCTGTGAGGTTGAGGCCAGCCGGGTCTCCAGAGCAAGTGCCAGGATAGGCTCCAAAGCTACACAGAGAAACCCTGTCTCGAAAAACCAAAAATAAATAAGTAAATAAAT